ATAGGGATCCAAGCCATGGACTACAATGGAGTCACCAACACTCAGCTCTACAAAAAGAAGTTACTACTTACACTTCAAGAGAATGAAGGTAAAATTTATTTCCATAAAGCACAGTGCCCTCTGTCTTCCCTTGCAAAAGGAGAAATAGCCTCAAAGAAAGTTTTGGCAGGTCAATAAGACCTATAGTTCAAGTTGCCCTTTTTTTCACCTGTTTAGCAGATTTCTTCCATAGAGTAAACCTAAGCATGTTCTCAGTTTCCCACAAAGGATCACATTCAGTACTTCTCAAGCCATGGAAGCCCACTTCAATAATTTTATTAGGGTACTGGAAGTTTAAACATCCTGTAACTGTGTGTCTCATTTTAAAGGGTCTTCCTCCAACCTCTCACTCTCTTCCCTTGATCTTTATTCCTCTTGTGTTTCAGTTAGAACCATCAGTACCAGCTTGTCCTTTTCCCATTTCGTGCAAAGCCCTCCTGAGAACAGCATCCTGAGATTGACAGCTGTGGCCACCCACACAGATCCTGAGATTAGCTACTTTGCTCAACAGGACATTGCCATCTGTAAACCACAGCTCATTATTGAGGTTAGGGGTTGCTCCTTACTCGAGTTACTGACCTGAATTACTCTCTCCCATCAAATCAAAGCCTTGCTTCAAGAAATAGCATCTGGCCCTTTCAGGGAAAAGCAGAATGAGCAGAGAGTGCCACAGATTGAGCTGAGTGACAATTTTACTGTAATGGCTAGGTAGGAGACCCTCTGTACAGCAGGAGGTTTTCCTTCTGTGTCTCCTAGAGAGCCCTCCATCTTACCACGTAAAACCTAAACTTCTATCTTCCTCAATTGTGAAGATTTCCTTTTTGTTTTTTCTTTACTTTTTAAATTTTATTTTATTTTCAAGTCCAGATTCTCTCCCTCCTTTTTCTCCCTCCCCCAGCCATAGAGAAGGCAAGAAAACCAAAGCCAATTACAAATATGTGTAGTCATGCAAAATAAATTCCCTCATTACTTAGGAAGAAAGGAACAAACAATAGGAATGAAGGGAGGGAGGGAAAGAGAGAAAGAAAAAAAGGAAGAGAAAGACAGGGAAGAAGGGAGGAAGAAAGGAAGGGAAGAAGAGAAAGGAAGAGAGGGGGGAGGAAGAAAGGGGGAGGAAGGGAAGGAGAGAAAGAAATAAAAAGAAAGGAAGGAAAGAAGGAAAAAAGGAAATACGCTTCAATCTGCACTGTCCGTTGGTTTTCTATCTAGAGGTGAATAGCAGGATGGGAAGGAAGCATGTTTCATCATGAGTGAAGGTTTTCTTTAATTACAGACAACAGATGCTGGCCCTGTGCTGATTTCTTTTCTCTTTGTGTAGCATCTGGCCTTGAGCTCAGGCTGGTATTAGGGTTCAGACTGTGACCATGGCAGAAGCCAGGAGGGTATGTGGAGGCTGGCAGTATTGTGTTGATGTGAGGAAGGAGTAACTTTCATTCCCTCTAGTTCTTCACTTACAGTCACTGCCATGATAAACACGTCCTTGGTACATTCCAAGCCGGCCCTTTGTGGGTATGATGGGTTCTATTTCTCCCCACAGGTGCCAGAGATGGTGAGACTGTATGAACCAGTCATAGCCTCCATCTATGTTCAGAATAAGTTGGATTCTCCCATGGAAGATTGTGTGATCACAGTATTTGGAAGAGGACTCATTTACAGAGAGAGGCGCTATAGGTAAAAGGCTGCTAACAGAAGAGTGACAGTTCCTTTCTTCTTGCTAGTCAGAAACAATCAAAACTCCAAGACCATCAGAAGATTTAGGGCTGGTGACCAATAGCTATGACTCATGAGAACATAGCCCAAATGTCTTCCAGTTATTTATTTGTTCATTCATTTGTTTGTTCATTCGTTTATCTATTTGTTTGTTTAAAGGCTGCACTCCCTATCTCACCCAAGTTGGACGTGCAACAGCTATACCACTGATTGGGCATGGGAATTTTGACCTACTCCATTTCCAACCGAGGCAGATTCGCCTCTCCTGAGGCAACCCAGTGCTCTCCTACACACACTTCTGGGGGATTACCATATTAATGCTGAACTTAGTGTAGACACCAAATTGGAATACCCTATTGCAGCTCAGAAATCTGGAGCTCCAGAGATCCTCCAGTCTCAACCTTCTTAGTAGCTAGGATCATAGGCCCATTCCAACACGCTGGGCCTTTTACTTACTCTTCTATTGTAAAGTAAACTTGATGTTCAAGGTCACAAATATGATCTACCACATCTCCAGGGACTGAGAATGGATATACTTCAGACTTAGATGAGGCAATCTTGACAGCACCTTGACTCTGCCTTCTTTCCCACTGCAGGAGAGTTGTCCAGGGCATGGTGTGGTGAGGGAGCTGGGGCCAGTGCTTTGACATCCAAATTGGTTGTAAGAATCACAGGATATCATTGCTCCATGAGAACAGAATTTTGGTTTTAGCAAGTGAACATGACATTGTAGAATTTTTAAACTAAAATTGCAAGACCTAAGGACTTAAGAACAACAAAGGGTGGTGGATAGAGAGCTGGCCTCATTGTCAGAAGCACCTGGGTTTAAAACCTGACCTCTGATGTAAACTGACCATGTGACAGTAGTCAAAGCACTTAACCATTCAATGCCCCAAGCAATTCTAAATTTCAGAGGTATTGATTTCTGCCAGCAGAGAGAGTTTCCTGCTAAGGAAATGAAATCATAGATCTGAACCAAAAACCAATAACGTCTATAGATCATTTTAAGGCTAGGTAAGGTAATTTATGTTTCTGGCTCAGTTGAGCCTTCCCACCACTCCCTGTAGCGGTCCTAAGCCATGATGAAGAGACAGAGAGCCTTAGAGCCAGGATTGTTCTTCTTGTTGTTTGTCCTTCGTCCTTAAAGAGAGTTGCCTAGATTAGGACAATGAGGGGTTAAGTGACCTTCCCAGTATGTCAGAGATAGTCATTAAGCCCAGGTCTTCCTGGCTCTAACAAGGCCATCTGCAGTCATCCTGTTGTAAATCTGGCCACTGGACCCAGGTGGTTCTGAAGGAGAAAGTGAGGCTTTGCACAGCCCTGCCTCACTTAAATCCAATTCACTTGCATGTCATGGCATCACCTCCCTGATGTCATGGTCCTCTTCAGCCTCATAACCCTGAGAGGTAGGTGCTATTATTATCCCCATTTTACAGTTGAGGAAACTGAGGCAGAAGGAAGTTAAGTGATTTGCCTATAGCTAGAAAGTGTCTGAGGCTGGATTTGAACTCAGGCCTTCCTGACTCCCAAATTTTTCCACAGCTTCTAAGAAAAATAGAACTAAAACACAGCAACCTACTTTTTGCTTATTTGTTGTTGTAAATTTCAGATTAGGTACCGTCTGGCCTGGAAATTCTCTCTACTGCCAGATCCAGTTCACTCCAACCCGTGCAGGGCTCCAAAGACTCACCATGGAAGTGGATTGTAACATGTTCCAGAACCTAATAGGCTACAAGAGTATCAATGTGGTGCCTGTGTCTCCAGCTTAAGTTGGCCAGAACCACCTTCCCACCTACAGCTCTCTCCCTGGTTGTGAAATGACATGCCTGGAAACGCAAGAGGCACACCTTACCACAAGATTCTCTAATGCATTAATGTCATTTCAGGGTGGGAAGGTGCGTGCTTCTCTTGGCTCAAATCACTCCTAAGCCTCCAATATGAATAGAACAGACCTAACAGGGATGAATACGTAGGAAGGGGACTCTTACCATGCTGGACTACGACAGCCTTGGATATTCGGTGTATTATATAATTATAATAACTTTTTTTTAAACATGATGCTTTACAGCTTTCAGAACAAATAATAATAAAACAACAATAATGACAGCTAGCATTTATACTGCGCCTACTGTGTGCCAGGCACCGTGCTAAACACTTTACTACCATCATCTCATTTATCTTCACAACTCTGACAGGAGGGGAGGGAAGGAGGAAGGAGGGGAGAAGCAGGGATTGGAGAAGAGATTCAAATGTCAATTTTACACATTTGGCAAAACAAATACATCTCAGAACATTTTAAACTACTTCCCCAAAATTACATTTGGTGATAATTTAACCATGTGTCAATATCATCCCTGACCATTACCATAAACAATAGACGTAAATTGTACACAATGTAATAATAGTAATAGATAACATTTATACTGCACTCTTAACATTTTTTTTTTTGGCAAGGCAATTGAGGTTAAGTGACTTGCCCAGGGTCACACAGCTAGTAAGTGTCAATGTCAAGTGCCTGGTTTGAAACCACATTTGAACTCAGGTCCTCCTGACTCCAGGGCCAGTGCTTTATCCACTGTGCCACCTAGCTGCCGGGGCATGCTAACATTTTAAAATGCTTTATACACACTATCTTATTTGGGTCCAGCAAGAAGTCTGTGAGGTGGTGGGTCCTCTTATCTCCATTTTACAGATGAGAAAACAGGCTCAGGGACGTTGACTTCCCCGGGGGCAGTTTGGGTCCCACAGCTGAAGTCTGGCATACAGAACTAAGAAAAGTAGAAATCACCAAATATATAGGAAATGGAACATATAAAGCCATAAAGGACGTGGTTCCTTACCTTAGTTCAGCATTCTAACACTGCATCTTCATTTCCTTTCTGAACTTTCCCATTTTTGATTGTCCTTCATTCTCAAAGAGGACCACCCTTACCTACAGACAGCTAGGTGATGCAGTGGCTATAGAATGCTAGGCCTGGAGTCAAGAAGACCCCAGTTCAAATATGGCCTCAGACACTTACTAGTTGTGACCCTGGGCAAGTCACTTAACCCAGCTTGCCTCAGTTTCCTCATTTGTAAAAAGGAGCTGGAGAAGGAAATAGCAAACCACTCCAGTATCTCTGCCAAGAAAAGTCCAAATGAGGTCACGAAGAGTCGGACAGGACTAAAACGACTGAACAATCCTTACCTAAACTTCTCAAAACTACTAAATTGCCTTGTGTATTTTTTCCAATAAAATGAGAAACTGTAAATAAATGTTGAACTTTAATAACTTAAAACAAGACTTTTGGGACACCCTGTGTATAACGCACACCTGCCAATGTTTCTTATTTTAACAGTTCCCTGGGTTTCTGTTAACAAGTTAAAACAGCAGAGATTGGTTTACAGGATGAAAATAGACTAGGGGTGAGTCTGTGAGGAAAGCCTTTCCAACACATGAAAAAATGCTACTGAAATATCGTTCCATATTTACCTCATTCTAAGAAAATTTCACATATGAAGATGCAAATGTACACAAGCTTCCAAGGCCCTCCAGCACATTTCAAAGCACTTCGTTTACAAACCTTCATTACAGAGTAGGTTGTGGTACTAACAGTTCACAATTCTTCTTTCAATTCACAAAGTGCGTTGTATACATTCTTTCATTCTGTTCATACACGCCCTGCACGGCCGGCAGTGCCAATTCCAGTCACCCCTATTTTGCAAGGCAACTGGCTCAGATGGGGTCGAGTGGCTCACTTCTGGTCTCAGGGACAGAAAGGGATACAGACAAAAGCAAATGAAATCTCTGTTCAACAAAGCATCTTGAGCTCCTGCCAGCTGTCAACTTTGACACAGCGAAGTTCCAGTGTAACAGAGGAACCTCAACCATCCCTTGTCATGTGAAGTTGTGCCCAGAAGCTTCGCAGTAGGGAGAAGTCCACTGGTTCTCTACAGCTCCGGCCAGGAGAGCACAAGCTCTAACAGAGAGGTCCTATGCAAAGCAGGAAAGGCTTCAAGTCCTGGCTCAGGAAATGACTCTGGGTCTGCCATCCAAAGGCCAGCTGCCCTAAAGTTGAGAAAACTAACGCAGGTCACCATGTGTATTTTTTTCTTTCCTTTTTTGGGAGCTGGGGATAAGGAATAGGGGAAGAAGGCGTGGTGGCAGGTACAGTACAGTAACTGCTGAAGCCATCTATATCAAAGCACAGAAGGGTCACCACATGCATTAGCAAATGAAGTACAGACACATGAAATCCTAGTTACAGTGCAGTACTAGTCACAGCAAATGATGGCTCTGCTTTTACTGATAATAAAACCAAAGCAAATGAGCTCACAGTGATTTGGGTAAAGATGCCAGGAGCACACTCTCATTTTATGTGTGGCAAGATGTGGAGGACAAATATGAACTCCTCGGAAGTGGAGATTGCTTCCTATTTCATATCTGTATCCTCAGCACCTAGAATAGTGCTGGACACACAGTAGGCACTTAATACTCAATGACTAATAGACTCATAGAAGAATTGCCACTACGGACCTGGCATCGTCTCCAGAAACAAAAAAAAGATATTTTATTGTAAATAAAGAATATACAGGACAAAGCTCTCCAGGAATCTGAGAAGCATAAATAGAAGGTCATATAATCATCTTTTGTTTCTGCCCATAAAAAGCATGGAGCTCACATGGTTTGCACACACTTAACAGCCGTGGTTAGTTGATGGCCTTTGGACACAGCCTTCTTAAGTGCAGTCTCCAGCTCTCCTGACCCAGGAAGCTTGTTGGCTCCATCCTAACAGTTGACATCAGAGCCTGGCTGTGGCGCCATGAGAGGAAGAGGAAGAAGGCTCAAAGTTCACCCTGGGTAAGGTTCTTGATTTTGTTCATGTTGTGATCAATGGCACTTGAGAGAAACTGGATCCAGTTTTCTTCCTCATGGGGACATACATGACTTGCCCTGAAGAGTGTGGGGAGAAAAAGAAACTGAATTCTTGATAGTTTCAAAGGACAGCCTATCCTCAAATAACCTTTCCTAAAACACTTCCTGGGGGAGCAGAGAAACAAAGAGACTCACAATAGGACAGTTCTCACACGCATTCCACATCTACCATTATCTGCTCACAGAAATTAAAGATACGGTGTCTGAAAGAGGATAGCTCTGTACCCTCCTGCATGTTCTAAAAGGTTTTGGGAACTTCATACTTACTTTGTGATTTCAAGAACCTTTTTCAACACAGATGCAAGTTTTGCAGCCTATAAATTAAAAGCAGAGAAATAATTCATTCTGTCAGCAGAAAAGAAACGCAGAGTGAAGGGAGAGATATAGGAGTAAGCCAAGTCACAAAGGGTCGGCCCCACCTCACCTCAAGTCCCCCATTCTAGACAGCCTGGAATACACACACAGCTGTCCAGTGAGGTGACTGGTATTCCCTCTCACTTTTCCATCAACACACAGAATTTTTACCTGCACCAACATCAAGGTAACATGATGTACACCTGTATTACAAATTCTGTACATTTTAACGTTACCAAAGATTTAGAAGTATGTTGAGAGATAAGAAAGTACAAAGATCTTTAAAATTAAATGATATTTTAAAAGTAATTCAGCACTTGTAATTTTTTACTTGGCTAGACAGAAATAAGTATTCCAAAGAGAAATAAAGTATTTTTTCTAGCTCTACCAAATAATTTTTTGGTAGTTTGATTGGTATGGCACTGAATAAGTAAATCAGTTCAGGCACAATTGTCATTTTTATTATATTGGCTTGGCCTACCCACGAGCAATTGATATTTTTCCAATTGTTTAGATCTGACTTTATTTGTGTGAAGTGTTTTGTAATTGTGTTCATATAATTCCTGCTTTGTCAGCAGGCAGACTCCTAAATCTTTTATATTGTTTACAATTGGTCAATAGTCAAGCTGGGTTTATGAAAAAAAAACTTGCATTCAATTAGTTACATAGTTTTCTTCTTAATTTTCAAATTGGAAGTCTATGAGGGAAGGAGCTACTGGTATCTGCTATAGTCATGAACGCACACACTGCCCCTTTGAGAAAATCCTGCAGGGAACAAGAACACATGTCTGCTGAGTCTGTAGTTGCTCCTCCATCATTAATACCTACATTTAGTCGCACAGCCATCCGATTTAAAGGTGGATACATGCTCAGAGCCAACTCATCCACACTAGAAGTAGAAAGCAAGAAGAGTCACTAACAGCAAAACTGAAGACACAGGCCCAAATGGACATTGGTGAACAAAAGCATTTATAGTAAAGAAGAATAAATCAGGCTTAGACATTTAGGCTCTTCTCCCAAAACCTCCTGCCTCTGCTCCTTAAAAACACAAGGTTCCAGACAGGAGAATCCTGACAGAGCTCCTAGTAAGATGCAATTAAACTCAACACACACATATATATGTTATACATATAGTATGTGCCAACTATCTATTTGTGCAGCTGTAAAAATTCCACTTGCATTTTAGAGTGAAAGTGTCTGATCCACTACAGAAATGGGAGGATGACACCCCAAGCAGAGGCCAGGGTGCTAATGTATCCACAAATCGAGCTTCATTCATTTATTCATTCATTCAACAAATACCTATTACAGCCAGGTAGAGAAGATGGGTAAAGACCAATGATCTGTAACTTCAACAGAATAGGGCAAATTGAAGCAGAAGGGGAGCTGCCCAAAACACACAGACATTAAGTGACTTGCAGAGGGCCACAAAACTAATACATGTCAGAGATGAGCTATGTATTAAGTTCTTCGTGATCCCAAGGTCAGCATTCTAACCATTAAGCCACAATGCCTACTGGGGAGATGAAGATATACAAATGACTATAATATAATCTAAAATACGAAAAAGGAAAGGGAAGGTTAAACTTAGTGCTAAAGCAACATTTCTCAAATCAGTTTAGGATTGGAAGACTCTTTGTTTTCTCAAGTGATAAGAAGTACTTATGCGATATGCTGAAAAAATATTGTAGCCATTGCAGGACAACGAGGATATCATTATATTAATGGAATTTATAAATGCTGGCTCTGGGAGGCAGAATACCCTCAGGTTAAAAAGGGGTTGGAGAAATTCAGAGCAAAAGAGAGGGAAACTGAGCCTATTTTGAAACACTGTCATATGTAATAAGTCTTTTTCTGATATATACAAAATTCCATAGTTACTGTTTTTGAGGGAAAACTATCAAGATTTCCTCACACCATATAGATTCACACATTATGTGGAATGGCAAGGTTCCTTGGAAGTTTTAGGAAATGCTGTATTATGGGAGTTCAGAGGAGGGAAAGGATTTGTTTTGGGAACAAGAGGGAAGAAGAGACCCAGAGAAAGTTTCATGGAAGAATAAAAATCTTAAGGCAGAATTTAGGGGGGGTGGGGTGTGGAGAAGTATTCTATGGAATGGGAACAGAACAAACAAAAGCAAAGGGATGAAGTGCAGAGCAAGTCTGGAGACTAGCAAATAGTTGAATTTAGCTGCAGTGTAGCTTGTGTTAGGAAGAATGTGTGTGTGGGGGGAGCTTATGGAGGGGATGAAGAAAGCTGAAAAGGTCAAATATCTCAAGCTAAAGACTTACCTAGGGCTGATCTCATTGGAAATGTCTACAATGTCATCTAGCTGGGCAACCTGATCCGAGACAACTGTCTTCCCGTGGGTTTCCACTGATGACCTGACTTTCTTGAGGCAAGCTTTAGAGGCTTTCATCAGTCCCATACAAGGGGCTAAGAGCTGCTGGTCCTCCTCTGACCAGTATGTGTCCCTATTACCCCGAGATCCCAATTCATCATCTTCCAAGATGTCACTGTAAGGGTCTCCACCGTCCCCCTGTGCCTGGAAGACAGTATATTAAATGTGGACACTCGACTATATTAAATTTTCAGGAGAAAAGGCATCTGATTCTCTTTGGTTCAGAGCCCCACCCACTGCGAGCCAAGCTCACCTTCTATTCATCATCAAAACAAACCAAACCCCCCCCAAACTTCCCAACTGCTGACTGCTTTGGTAAGACTTACAAATATAAGCAATTATGCTATTGTTACAGTCATACAGTAAGTTTTAATAAATGGAATGGTAGAAAAAGTACTAGATCCAAATCCTGGCTCTTCCATTCACTAGCTAGATGGCTCTAGGCACATCATTTCATCCGAGCCACAGTTTCTCGATCTGTGAAACGGGTATAGTTATACTAGCTACTTTTTAAAAAAAGGTATTGTGAAGATCAAATGAGACAATGAACATCAAGTACTATACTGTTACTGAGCTGTTTCTATAATTAGTGATAAGGGAATTAGGTCACCAATTAAGCACAGAGTGAAACACAGGATAACAGAGATGAATTCCCTTTAAAGCTACTGGATTTCCAGTCATCTATTAACTAAGAGGTTATTTTCCAATGACTCGGCAGGAGCTGGATCTCCTTACCTGCTCCATTTCCTCAAGTGCATCCTTCACTACTCGCAGATAGGAAGCCAGCATTAAAAGGGCTGCTGCTTTGTTATCTATAAGCAGAGTAAGAGAAACCCAAATTAAAGGACCAACCCAACAAACCTCTACCATCCTGCTAAGGAGAACCAATGACAACTTCTCCACTTGTAGCAGCTCTAAGGAGAGGACAAATGTTTCCTTGTCATTAATTTTGTCAATGACATCACCATTCACCCAGGGTTCCACATTTGAAAGCTTAGTGCTATTTTTGACTCTCCCTTCCCTCTCTCAGCTTAGCAGGTACCAAGTAACATGGATTTTTACCTTAGTATATATCTCACATCTTTCCTTTAATCTCTATTCCTACCTTAATCACTCTAGTTGTCCAGTCATGTCCAATTTCTGTCCAACTCTTCGTATCTTGCAAAGATACAGGAGTGGTTTGTATTTCCTTCTCCAGTGGATTAAGGCAAATAGAGGTTAAGAGACTTGCCTAAGGTCACACAGCTAGTTAACTGTCTCAGGCCACATGTGAACTCAGATCTTCCTGACTCCAGGCCCAATGGTCTATCTAGTCAGTCACCCAGCTAATCACTCTAGTACAGGCCCTTATTACTATCTGCTTGGACTACTGAAATAATCTAATAATAGCTCTTCCTCCTCTATTTCATCCTTCATACTGCTGCTAGCATAATCTTTCTTTTGCTTAGATCTGGTCACCTCATTTCCTGCTTAAAAATCTTCAGCGGCTCATTAATAAATACTGGATAAATGTCAAATTCTTTGATCCAGCATTTAAAGACTTCTACCCTTTGGTGCCACCCTCCTTTTCCACTTTTCTTCCATAATACTCTTCTGCACATACTCTCTACTCTAGCCAAACTGAACTACTCACTGTCTGTCCCCTTTCATACCCCATGCTTTCCTGTTTCTCTTCTTTTTCTCTCATTGTTCAATTATGCTGTGAATGCCCTCCTTTGCTTATAAATTCCTGTTCATTCTTTAAAGCACAACTCAAATGCCATCTTCTCTGGGAAGTTTTCCTCTTATGTGCTTGCCATATTACTTTGTGTTAGATATGTGGAGATGTTATATGCATATCTCAGAGTTCTCCTACTTAACTGTAAATTCAACAGGTATAAGAACGCTGTCTTATGCAATCTTTATATTTCCCCTAGCACTGAGCAGAGGGCTTTGTACACAGGAGGCATTTAACAAAAGATTTCTGAGTTTGAATGTAAAACTCTTTCCAACAGATACACCCCTTTTTCAGTATCAGAATAAAGTTAAGTCCATACTCATTCCAAGAAAAACTGAAGTGCTTAAATCACGGCCCATTTGGAAATCACTTACTTTAGCCAAGAGTGTCCTGTCAGAAACACCTGGTTCTATCTAATGACTATTTCAATAATGTTCCTGACACTGTCTATGAGTAAAACTAAGTATATGTACTCCAAAGACTCAGTAAGTATTAAAAATCCCTAATGGAATTTGAATAGAAGGGTGAGGATACTTTGGGGCAATGAGAAAGGAACGATAATTGAGAAGACAGTAACACCAAATTTCCCTTTTCTAACTTTTAGCAATGATGGCTTATTCTTTAAAAATCTGTTACTTGTTAAATCTGGATTACATTAGGAACACTACAAAATTGGAAGTGATATGTGAAAAGTACTAATTTTCTCTCATCCAGCTGAATACAATCACCATACCTCCCACTACTTCACTCACCTTTTGGTAGATGAGACACCTGGTCACACGTTTCCCAGATACTGCCAGTTGATCTGAGATACTCATGCGTTATGCTGAAGAGCAAAAACAATGAGGATATCAACAACTCAAATCCCTATCTTCTAAAAAGGATCCTTCCTGCCTGCCCCATCCTGATGCCCAAAAGGAGACTCACAGGGTTTTCCTGCCTCCCCAGGCACTATGAGTCCCACCAAGTGACAGCCAGAACCAGGTCATTACCATTGAGGTCGAGCTCTAACAATCACCTCTGCAAGCTGGGCCATTCCCTCCACTACATCCACAACAGTATCTCGAACCATTTTTCGTAACGTGATACCTGCAACCAAAGCCAAGCTTTAAGCACTCTAGAGGTCTTTCAGGGAGAAATCATTTTCTTCTACTTACCTGAGTCTATACATTACAAGGCAGTAGGCAGTACCTATGCTTCACATACGACCTGCCTTCCTACTGCTCATCAATTCCCATTAATTTGGTAGTTTTCTCTGACTAGAGAGGTGGTAACGTTCTCTGTCCGAAGGAGATCTAACACAAGAATCTTGCTAGAGCTTTCACTCACTCCTTTAAAAATTATATCTTGAGTACTTGAGTACCTGAGTGTGCAAAATAGATTACCTTGGTCTTTAGGAAGCCAGTAGTATTCGGAAACCTCTGCCAACACAGCATTCTGGATACTTTCACAGAGTTTCCTGCAGTCCTACAAAAAACACAGTTCCATTCCAAAATGAAGAAGAAATTAAGAGTGACATGATGAAAAGCCACTGCCCTAGAGAAGAGCAGAGGTCCACCATCAACTTCATCGTCATCTATCAAGTATTTACTGATCACCCACTATATACCATCTAGGGTTTGGATATTACACAACAATACACCCCAGTCAACAAAATATCTACTGTATGGAAGAGAAAGAGTTAACACGCTATTCCAGGATGCTGGTGACATACTCTGAATCACACACACACAAATTTTGGATGGCACATTTTTGGGGAATCCCAACTTAAACCTGAAGGTAACTAGAATGGATGTAATACTCCTCCTGTCTATTTTCCATGTAATACTCCTCCTGTCTATTTTCCCACAATGAGCCTTTAGTCATCTCCTGCTCTTAATTGTATACTTCACAAACTTAATTCACTGCCATTATTCTTTCACTTTAGCACTCAATTCATATTAAGTAATAACATAATCAGACTAAAACACTTAATTCTTTCTCCCCTCCCCCATGTACTTAACATGTTGTGATTTCAAGAACAGAATTATCAAGTCTTTTTTGTAATTTCCTACAAGCAAAGCAATTCAAGTTAAAGAAGTTCCAGACTTCTGAAAGTTTATATATCAGAACACAGGCATAGGCACCAGCATATACACACACATACTGTAAACTATATGGAGACGTAGCATTAGAACAGGCTATAAACAAAATCCTACTTTTAATTTCCATCTTAGAGTGAAGAAAAACACTGCAGTGAATATCTATATTCACTTATATAGATTATATAGACAGATACATAGATATATCGATCTATATAAAATGTTATATTGTTTCTCCATGGTGTCCCTAGGATTTTACCAGCATACCATAAAGAGTTTTTAAAAGAACAGGAATTTTTTTTGGAGAAAAAACTCAACTACTACTACCACCTTGTATTTGTAGTGCGCTTTTTCTCCAAAGAACTCACGTACTTTCATATGCATCATCTCAACTTACTGCTGGCATGAAAGGTATGTATAGACAAGTTCATCACTGCAAGTAAGGTGAAAATGGGTAGGGGAAATAAACCGTATTTTGACGTTTGTATATATAGACTTACTTTCATATGGAAAGGAAAAGGAGGGCAAAGGCAGTGAAACTTGTGGATAACCTTACCCCAGAATTTGGTACTCGGCTCTGTAAAGACCTTGAGACCCCGCTGTCTTTCGTTTTAGAGAAAAGAACTGAAAGAAATAACCGGACGCCAAAGGGAGAAGAGCGGAGCCCGAGTGGGCAGCCCCAGAACGACCCAAGGCAAACCCACCTCTGGGGAAGGCAGGGGAGGTCTTGCGAAGGCCAGGCTCAGCTTCGTGGCTTCCTGGGACACCGCCAGAGCCCTCTGCCCTACGGGAAGGAAAGGGTGGATGGGGTGGGGGCAGAGCGGCAGCTGGCGCGGATAAGGCTGCACGTGGCGGGGCTACGCTCCGGCCGATAACCCCACAGGCGGCCCAGCCTCCTTCCGTCTGGGCACATTTTTCATCCCTCGGACACCCGCCCCCAGGACACCTGGGGCCCCTCCTCGGAGGAAGCCGACTCCGTCTCCCCGCTCCCGTCTGTGGGTCTGCCCGTCTCACAGAGGTGAGTGAGGGCAAGGGGGTCTTCCTGCTTCCAGGAGGGGATGTGGGACCCCCAAACGCCGGGGGTGAGACTCACTCACCGAGCTTGTCCCAAAATCTGTGCGCGTCGAACGCCTCCGCGGTCTCCCGGGCCTCGCCATCTGCGGGGGGACGGGGCGGGCCGTGAGAGGGGAAGGGAAAGAAGGGGCCCCAGCGCAGGCTCCCGCCCGCCACGGCCCCGGCCCGGGTCCTCACCCCGCACCCGCGGCAGCACGGAGCGCAGCGCCCCGATGAGCCTCCGCAGCTGCGCCATGGGCTCCTCCGGGCTCGGTCCCGCCGCCCCGAGATCCATTGCGTCGAGCCCCGACACGGTAGCAGCCGCTCGGCGGGTGCTCCACTAGAACGCCTTCAACTTCGGGAAGGGAAGCGCTGGACCTCGACTTCCGGCGCCCTCTGCCCGCTTCCGGCAATAGACTGAGGGGCCGGCTCGGCGGGGGACCGAGGGAGGACGCCCCGCTAGCAGACCGCTGGGCGTGTCTGGGGCGCCCGGTGACCAATGTCAGCTCTCCCTCCCCTTTGCCTCCGCCCCTCGACCGAGATACAGCACAGGATCGCAAACTGTTTATCCATTTATTTGATCAGTTTAGAACAATCCCACCACTGGAGGCAGAGACCCTAGAAAACCTGAGATTCAATTAAACCATCAACAACCCACGTGGTAGGCAGGACGCGGCCCGGTACTAGCCTCGGGGTCCGGAGCCCGGCACCACTCTCCCAACTGGCCTCCAGTCGGGAGGCGCCCTCACGGGCGCGACATTTTCATTCCACAAAGTTCAGTTCATCCCTTTGCTTCCATGGGGAATAAGCAGCAAGAATCAGCAATCACAGCATTAATTAGGGGCCATTTTTGGAGGTTCATTCTTAGAGAATCAGCATGTCGCCCACCAGCTACAGCGGGTCAAGGCTCTTCTCTAAGCAGCAGGGCCATACGGCCTTCTCATCGGCTTCGGGCGCAGCTTCCCTGGGCGGGCCTCCCCGGAGGGTGGCTGGGACCCCGGGGCAGCGGCGACAACCCCGGGCCCGAGCTCCGCCTGCACATCGGTCATTGCCTCTGGGAGCTCTGATGGCTTCTGAGTTCCACTATGAAGGTTCTGAGTTCCCTGGGGTTCAAGGTCCATGCCCAACGAACAAGAATTGGGAAAAACACCGCCAACCAGGTATATATGGGGGAGAAGAGAAGGGCCACAGCGCCATAGGCCTTCCCGAGCAAATAACAGCTACCAATTTGGCAGAAGTAGAACAGCAGCATGAGGCTATGGACAGGTAGAGTCTTGTGGTATCTTCCCTTGAGATGAGAGGTAAAGACATAACCCTGGCACCGCAGCAACAAGGTCCAGCACAGATAGACCAAAAGTGGTACATGAAAAAGCAGCATCTAGAAAAGGAAACAGAACAATTATCAGCATATGGCAAATCGCTAATAAGGGTGGAATCTAGCCAGTTCACGACCACAAAACTAATTCCGATATGTAACACCAATCTTATCTCTAAGAATTTTCACTGAGGATGGAGCACCCACCTACATCCTGCTTTAATCCTGGCTCTGCCACCAAGGAGCCATTATTACCATGTGGAAGTCATCGAAACTCACTGAGTCCAAGTTTCTTCATCAGTGAAAAAAGGATATTACTAATCCTACCTACTTCTCAGGGTTGGTGACATAAAATTTAAGGGTCAGTGCTTTTCTTTGTGAACTAGAAAATTCTTTCAAACAAAATTTTATTTTCATCACTATACGTTTTGTGAATTATCTGAAATCACATCAAGGCAACCAAACCAACTTGATTTTCAATCATCCAACAGTACTTATTCTAACAAGCAGCAAGGAATGTATATTAGAACTGAGAGATTTAAGTGCCTACTATGTGCAAGGCACTGTACCAAGTTAGACCTGGGATACAAAGACAAAATTCCTGTTCTCCACTAGTTTGCATTCTACTGAGAAGGGGGATCAGGAGAGACTTCTTTTAGGAGGGGGCACCTAAGGAGCACTCTGAAGGCAGGCAGGGATTATACAAGGTAGAGGTGAGAGGGAGGCCATGTGGCTTTGTGGATAGTGTGGGACCCAGAGTCAGGAAGACCTACGTTTAAATCCCACCATCCCAAATCAGATATTCACCATTTTGGACCCTGAACAATCCACTTAACCTCTCAGCTCCAGTTTTCTCATTTGTAAAATGGTGGATAGTAAACTACCATACAGGGTGGTTATGAGGGTCAAATGTGATCATAGATGCAATGTACTATGAAAATGTTAGCTATTATTAAGTTATGCAAAGGCCCAGAGGTAGGAGACAGAATGTTATGTATTGCAAGGGTGGGAAACCTGTGGCCCTGAGACCACATGTGGCCTTCTAGATCCTCAAGGGCGGCCCTTTGACTGAATCCAAACTTATTCGTTCTGTGAAGTTTGGATTTAGTCAAAGGGCCACCCTTGAGGACCTAGATGTCCACATGTGGCCTCAGGGCCAAAGGTTCCCCACCCCTGGTATGCAGGATAGCTAGAAGGCTAATTTCACCAGAACAGAAAATGCTTAAGGGGAGTAATATGAAATAAGATGGAAAAGAGGTAGGAGTCAGATTGTGGAGGATTTTAAATGCCGATTGAAGATTTTTATTCTATCCTACAGGCAACAGGGAGCCAATGAAGACTTTTAACTGGAGGGAAGCAGGAAAGACATTGTCAAATCTGTTTTATGAATATCGGTATGGCAACTACACGTAGAGGTTGGATTGTGGAAGGAAGAGAAGGGGATGGGGTGGGATGGGGCAGGAAGAATAATTAAGAGACTACTGCTTTCACTAGTCTAAGAGGTAATAAAGGTAGAGATTATATGAGTAGAAAGAAATAGATGGATGTATTAAGTAAGATTTAGCAACTGATTAGGGCAACTAGGTGGCACAGTGAATAGGGCACCAGGCATGGAGTCAGGAACTCATCTTTCTGAGTTCAAATCTGACATCAGACACTAGCTGTGTGACCCTGGGCAAGTCACTTAATCTTGTTTGCCTCAGTGTCCTCATCTGGAAAATGAGATGAGAAGGAAATGGCAAACTACTCCAGTATCTTTGCCAAGAAAACCCCAAATGGGATCACAAAAGAGTTGGACACAACTGAAAAGCAACTGACTGGATATGTGAATTGAGGAAGAGAGAAGAGTCAAGGATAACTTCAAGGCTGATAACCTCTAAGCTCATTCTGATGTTGTCATTTAAGGAAATAATACTTTAACGAGTATAAATGTAAATTAATTACTTTATATATTTCTCATATATACACACCTATCTCCAAATAGTGTTGTGACTTATATTTTCCATTTTGCTAGAATGCTTTTCAGTCTCTCAGTCCCCCAAGTCACATTAGGGTAACATTGGTACAGCTAAATGTTTTTATTCTCTCTTCACTCCTATGTGGTGAATGAGCTTAGGCATGGAAAAAGGAAGTATAGAAAGTTAAGTTAGAGGAGGAAGAGAGTTACCTCTGCTTTCTGGATAATATTTCTGAATAAGCTTAATGTGTTGCTTGGTGTTTGTTTCAGCAACCTTCATAAGCATTTACCCTTAGGGTTCAAATATCTAGTGGCTCTTATTATCTAAGAGCCATTAGAACTCCCTTTCTGGTTCAATATCCCCCATAAAGAGAACATAGAAAAAGGAAAGGTATAATGGAACTAAAGAACCAGTAATTCTCAGGGCAGCTAGGTGGTGCAGTGGATAGAGCACCGACCCTGGATTCAAGAGGACCTGAGTTCAAATCCAGCCTCAGACACATAACACTTACTAGCTGTGTGACGCTGGGCAGGTCACTTAACCCCATTGCCTAGCCAAAAAAAAAAAAGAATGGAAAAAAAAGAACCAGTAATTCTCTATCTGTGGTGAATGCTTTCCTCTCTAAATACTTTCTTTATAGATGTGCAACTTCTTTAATAATAATAGTGCTTCTAAAAGGAAGCCAAACTCTGAGTAATTGAAAAGCCAATAATGGTACCAGAGAACAGATAATAAAACATACCTCCCTCTGCAGAGAGGGAGGGGACTACAAAGGAAGAATGGAAATGGAAAATTTGTATACATTATCAGATGTGGTCACTGTACTGGGTTTGAGTTTTTGTATTTGGGGTTTGGGGTTTAGGGTTTTTTTTTTGGCTTAACTATTTTCCCTTGTTACAAGAGAGGCGTATTTTGGACTTGCATGGTAGAGTATATCGAGGAATTTTAGGGACATAGAAACAAAAGGTATTAATAAGATATTATTTTAAAATAGTAAAAATAATTATACATCATAGATAGGTGCAGGTTTTTAGCACAACCACTATTATCCCAATATAACATATCCTACAAATTTCCAAATAAAATTTAATTTTTGTAATTATTTCTCAATTCAAACATATCAGTAAATTATGTTTCTTAACCCTTTTTCCCTTAGAAAAAAAGGTTCTGAACATACAGCAACTGCTTTTCAGTGGTAGTGCTACAGAGCTAGATAAGGAAGCAATTTAGAGAGAATTAAACAGAACTAATGGATAGAGTGTTGTGCCTACAATCAAAAGATCTGAGTTCAGATCCTGCCTCAGCCACTTACTAGTTATGTGACCCTGGGCAAGTCACTTAACCTCTGTCTGCCTTATTTCCTCAACTATAAAATGGGCATTATAACAGCACCTAACTTGCAAGGCTCAAATGACATGTTTGTAAAGAACTTATAGCACAGTGCCTGGCATATCGTAGGTGCATAATGAATGCTCATTCTTTTTTCCCTTGCCCTAGTGTTCATGGTAAAGTTTTGTGGGGAGTATTTTGGTCAGGAGGAATCTCAGCACACCAAATGTTAAATTGGCAATACTATAAGAAGGGTTGGAGAGCTGTATACAGAGAGTGTCTCTTCAGGAACACCCATGCATATTGAGCTTTTTGTGAATTCAAGATCTGACATGTTTTGAGGTTAGTACACATGCATAATAGACAAGCTTTGTTTGCTTTTGTGAATATTACTGTGTGGGATAAGTAAATTTTATATTAAAGAAGATAATTGGCAGAAGCTAGGTGGCGCAGTGGATAGAGCACTGGCCCTGGATTCAGGAGGACCTGAGTTCAAATCCAGCCTCAGATACATAACACTTACTAGCTGTGTGACCCTGGGCAAGTCACTTAACTCTACTGCCTAGCCAAAAAAAAAAAAGATAATTTATTTTCTTTATCTGCTATCTGCAGTATCATAACATCCATAATTTTGGGGCACACCTAGCAAAACTCACAACACATACTTTGAGAAACATTACATTACAACAATGTAAATAGAATCAACAACAAAAAAGAAACTGAACACTGCGTAACTATAATGACCCAACTTGAAGAAATGAGAAAATACACGTCCCTTCCTTCTTACAGAAGTGAGGGAGTAGACTGGGTGTAGGATATGGCATGTACTGCTCAGTTCGGCTGATATGTCGATCACTTTTGTGAAACTGGTTCTTTTTCTCTTACTCATTTTTTTGTTTCTAGGTAGAGCCACTGGCTGGGCAGAGGAGAAGAGAAGGAAACATTCAGAAATGAAGATGATAAAAACAAAAGATATAAATAAACATTTAAACACTTTTTAAAGAAAACTTTAAAGAACTATGCATATTAACTATTATGACCATAATTTCACTTGCCTATATAAAATTAAACTCTGTGGATAAAACAAAGAGGCCACTGAAAAGGGCCAGCATGCTATGAGAAGTAAATACCCTCATGACAATCTGGGTTGAAGAGCTTAGAAAATCCCTTTTTCTGATGAAGGACTTTGATTCTTGGGATGTGATTGGTCAAAGAGAATAGAGAAAACTTAGTACCAGTGGTATAAAATTCTGCCAACTCACGTCAGGGGCAAAAGAACAAAGCCTTTGCACACATACCCTGCCCCCCCCCCCCTCCCATGACCACATAAATCATCTTTTGCAGCCACCACCAACAGGGGCTTTTAGGAAGGTCAAGGTGCCTCCTTGTTCCATAAGCTATGCCAGAACATGCATGGTTAACTTCAACTACATTTAGGTCATGGAGTTTAAATTCAATATTGGATTTTGCAAGTAATTGTTTTTCAGGGCTTTCTACCTGGCTTTTTTTTTTAAGGAAGTAAGTTTCATTCAGTACCACTGTTAATCTAATGTTCTCATTCTTGAATGTATTGTTCTTTTTTCTGGGCAGTAATCAATTTGGGCTACATTTTGGTCAAAAGGGAAAATATTCTCTGTATGTCTTCCTCACCACTCGTCCGTAACAGGGCCAAAGATCTCATAAATGTGTCAAATTATATGCCTCATTTTAATCCCAGCCCTATTTTAAAATATTTGTTATTCTAGTTTTCCCTTCTATTAAAAATCACATCTTTTATTGGAGGAAAAATTTTTCATGGCAGTATGCTTCCTGAATTTTAACCCACAACTCTTACCTGAATAATTCCAAATATAAATGTCATGCTGCCTTGAAAGAAATGCCCATCAACAAATACCCCAAAGGAAAAGCAGCAGCCCATTTTACCATCGATAATTTCACCAACAAACCACGGTCCTGAAAGGGACATTGGACAGGAAGGAAGAATAAATAGGTGACATTCAGTGACTCCTAAAGATGTATTTAGGAGAACGATGAAGACAAGAAACAACAGATTTCTGATGTTGGAGTAATTCCTGATATCAGCTTTCTAAGTACAGGAGGCCCATTGACTAGTTATTAGATCTAAGATTGGCATATTTGTGTGGTAACGATACGAAACATTTCATTTGTATCTTCTTCCCATGTGGCTTTTTTTTAGATTTAATCCCTGTAAGCCATATGTTTTAGGTAGCTAACTTCTTCAGTCTGTATAATGAAGCAACCCCTAAGCATGCTCTGATGAGATATCTTATGTTTTCAGTGAGTAGCCTTCAGACTCATCATTTTCCAGGAAAACTCTTTTTTTGAATAATGACCACAATATGATACTCAATTATCTAATTTATCTCATATCTCATTTATCAAATATCAGAAGGCAGTCTAGGGGATAGTTGCTGTGAATTTTCTAGGTAATTGAAATTTGCCCCTCCAGGTGTAAAAACCATTTATTTTAACCATTTCTGATTAAATTATTTCCTATAAATGAAACCTTTTTGATGACTAGTTATTTTTATGTACTTCTATTATTGTATAGTAATGTTTTCAAATTTTATTGATGCAGGTAGAACTCATCTTGCCCTTGCCTGTAATTCCCCAAGAATGCTGTGTTTTTCTAATAGATGGTTATTCTGTATGCTGTATTCGGTTGGCTGTTTTTTCTCACTATGCTGCTTTGGATCTTTCCAATAGCCTCAAAAGGGCTAAAGGAAAGTCAGTTCTATACATCTCTTCAGTCTCGGTCTTTCCCTGTGGTCTCAAAAAAAGTCAATTTTATATATCTCAAGATATTTTTTTATATATCTCAAGAGGAAAACATTAGTAATGCAAAGTGGTTCCTGTTGGCTAGGGAGAGTAGCTTTTTCAAAAGCACATACAATTTCTGCAGACTTACTTTTGTATAATCACCAATGAAGATATTGTAGCCTAAAAATGTTTTTCTTTATTTTCCAGCTTTGACAAAAGGAACAATTTCCAGATGATGTTCTCTAGCTCTATACTGTTTCTTTTTCCTTTTCTTTATGATTTCTTTTCATACACTGAGCTCTAAATAATCAGTTAGCTTCTCAGTGTTGGGGTGAAAAAAGGACCTGGACAACTTCATTCCTACCATTGATTCTTTCCAGAAGTTCAGAGTGGAAGAGTTTGCCCCCAGAAAGATTTTCTCAATGAATACTTTATATGGCCATTACACAGGATAGAGCCATGCACCAAACATTTTTGGGCAACCATACCTACTTTCTGTCTTCTCATGTTGAAACAAGAGGAAAAGATTGCAAAGGGGACAAAAAGTTTGTAAAAATTGCAACCTGTACTGAAACTATACAACTGTATAAATAAATGTTTCTGTGGAATAAATTAATCTGTTTCTGAAAATGAGCTTTTGGTCACCAAGCAACACTAGCAGACTTATGTAGGACTTGACGGACTGTTTTGTTTCTATCCAAACACAGTGACTTTCTTAAAGCCCTGGCAATAGTAGTAACTCCAGTGGCTCTCTATTACCTCCAGGATCAAATATAAAGTCCTGTTTGGCTTTTAAAACCCTTCACTGTTTGTCCTCTTCCACGTTTTCCAATCTTCTTGTATTTGACTCCCAGCCATGTACTCTATAGTCTAGCAGCTTCTCTGGCCCACTTGTGGTTCCAAAGACACTTCATGCCTTTGCACTGTCAGGCTCCCAGTCCTGGAAAGCTTTGCTCCTCCTCTTCCACCTCTGGGCTTCACTGGATTCCTTTAAGACTCAGCTCAAATCCCATCTCCTACAGAAGGCCTTGCCTTGCCTGGTCCCCCCAGCTGTTAGTGCCTTTCCTCTGAGATTACCTTCCATCTACTTAAACGTAGTATTTACAGGTTGACTCCTCCATTAGAATGTAAGGTCCTTGAGGCAGGGACCATGTTTCTTTTCATCCCCAATACAAAGAGCAGTGCCTGGCATATAGTAAGAGCTTAATAAATGCTTGTTAACTGATTAAATGCTTCAAAGATAGTTTGGATAGGATTTCAATTTACTGACCTCAGTTTCTTACTTATCTATGTTTTTTTTTTAGGTGGTACCCACAGGCAAATATTAAGGCTTATTTGCTATTTGGTTTTATACAAAGAAGTTCTTAGACTGTCTCCTTAATATCCTTGCAGTCAAACTGCCCTAAACTAATATACCCCTTTAAGCATTTTAGGTAACAGCTAGATGGTGCAATGAACAGAGCACTGGACCTATAGTCAGGGAGGTTCAAGTTCAAATCCAGCTTTAGACACTCACTAGCTGCCAGATAACAGGCAGTGACTTCCAGCAGTAACTAACAGGCAGATAACAGTGACTTCATGAACTCTCTTTTGGCTTGGTTTCCTGGTCTGTAAAATGGGCATAATAATAGCACCTACCTCCTGGGACTGTCATGAGGACCAAATGAGATAATATTTGTAAAACACTTAGCAAGGTGACTTCTGGCAGGTAGTAGATACTATATAAATGCCAGCTATGGTTATTGTTAGGAAAAAGCTAATCAGCCAAAACCATTATTCAAGGAAATGGCTTGTAAAGGTAAACACATATCACTCATTAAAGCAAAAACTCTATACAGGTGTTGAGAATTTTACTTAAATACCTTTCCATCATAATCTTCATAAGCATTTTGAAAGAATTTTCTAAAACCTCTGGTTCACTAGGCTACTTACCCAAAGCTGTATAGAAATTCAGGAATAACACAACGTAGTAGAAGGTATTTGTTTTGCTCAAGACATTAAAGGAAAATGTGGCCAGACTTATATACCCTGGAGCTCCTAAACAGAGTAAATTTGAAAAATCCAGTAAATATGAAGCGTAGTTCAATTTCTTTACAATATCTTCTAGAACAAAAGTGTTAAACTCAAATAGAAATGGATCCCTGCAGACAGCATATTGACTTAGAAAACCACAAATTAACATTATTTATGCTATATCGAGTTTTTGTTTTGTTAAACATTTCTCAATTACATTTTGATCTGATTTGGGCTTCTGGGTGAGTTTGACACCTCTGTTCTAGAAGAATATAGTCTGTAATGTTTTCTGTTGTATATCTATGTTTTAATAAGATGATTAAATATCTCATTAAATGTTTCTTGTTGCCTCTAGAAATGCAACAAAATCAACTTCAACCACTCCTTTCTTTGCTTTCCCAAAGAGACGCTGTGAGCCATCTTTCCATTTTTATGTTCTGGTTTCAATTATAGTGATTATGTCAAGATTGAGGTGATTTAGTTGCTCCAATAGTATGTGTAGCCAGTCACCGGACAAGGCCCTTACATTTCAGAGGACGAATAGCTAAGTCAATATTTACAGACAGTCTAAAAGCTGTGTGTGATTCTCAGTACCTTTTGATATTTTTTCCACCCTGTGACACCATCACTGCAAAGACATGGAAGGGAGAAGTATAGGACTGAGGGGCAATTTTGTAATTTTCTTTGCCATGTAATACACTAGAGAAGCAGCATAAAGGATGCCAACCAGAGAGACAGATGAGCAGACAAAGTAAAGCCAATCTTGTCCTGGGAGTGGGGATAACCAAAGGGCAGCTCTCATGCTCCACTGGTATGCTTGCCACATGAAGGGGTCTACAGGAAGCCCCTAGCACATTGGACAATCCCATCCAGGATTTCTGGCAGAACAAGAAGTCCACATTTCACTCAGTAAAAAATAAGGAGGTACTAAAGATTTCTGCATAGAAGATTGATATGTCAGATTGATGTATAAAACAGATAAGTTGGGTAAAGGTAAGAAGCATGGCTGAAGAAGGGAGAGTAGAGGGGGGAAAGTATCTTATATGGGCTTCAAGAAGGCATTTCTAGCGGTTTCAATGACCGCTGCTTAATTAACAAAACTTTAACATTTGTGCTTGAAGTTGGGTTGAAAAGAATGAGTCTTACATAAGATTTTTCAGGAGTAGGTTCATTAAAAGACTTAAAGACTGGCTGGCAGTGCCTCCCACCCCTCAGTAACATCAATAAGATATTCATCCACCTAGATGAATGTCTGGAAAACAAAGAGGGCTCACTACTAAAGAGATGAAGTATCAGTATCAGTCAGGAGCAGATTCAGAACTGGAAGAAACCTTAGAGGTCATATAGCTTGCTGCTTCATTTTACAGAGGAGGAAACTGAAGAAAAAGGTTAAGTGATTTGCCTATGGTCACATGGCTAGCAGGTGGCTGGCTAAGATTTGGATCTGGGTCCTAGGACTAAAAATCTGGTTGTTCTTCCCATTATGCTGTTTTTAATCATCCTGGGCTGCCCATACCTTACCTTTAGGGGGCCCAATACTATCTGAATAGAACCCATGCAACTTGACGTGGAGCTAGGAGATGAGATGGTGAATACGCTACACAAGAATTCAGATCCAAAAAGATTATGACGGAAAAGGTATTGAGGTAAACATCTACAGAACCTTTGCTTCAAAATTGGTAAATTACAATAGTGGATTGCCAGTTCAATATGAGTCAACAATATATGGCAGCAAAAAAAGCTTGTGCTTTCTTAGGTTGCAACATGAGATGCAGGGTCTCAAATGAAGGAGGTATAGTGCCATTATATTCAGACCTAGTCAGAACTCCACAGTCCAGAGTATATGTTCAGTATATCTTAGGAAAATTAAAGACAAGTTGGAGCATGTCCAGAAGATGGTAACTGGGATGATGAGAGGATTTAGAGAACATATGGAAAGAACTGGAGATGTTTAGCCTTGAGAAGGTTTGAGGATCAAATACAAACTCCTTTAATTAGTCACAGGACGCAGTCCATCTTCCCTCACTAGAAATCTTCAAGAAAAGACTGGATGGTCACTTGTTGGGGATATTATAAAATGGACTCTTACTAAGTTATAGGTTGGACTAGAAGGTCTACAAAGGCCCTTCCAACTCTCAGATTCTGTGACTCACTCATAGTTCAGTTCATAGCCATTTAAATGAGAAAGTCTCATGATGAAAGAAAAGTTTGCTTTTACTGTGACACCCCCTACCACGTAGCAAGGCATGGTCCCAAGAAGACCAGAGTTAGTTCCCATCATTGTCTGCTCTAGATGTTAGCTCTGTTGGGACAATGAAAAGAGAAGGAACCGAAATAGCACAAATATTTCCTGGTCAGCTAATTGAAACCCACAATATGGCCATAACTTCCATCTCGCTGCCCTCCCCAACTTTCAGCCTGGTACTGGTGCTGTTTCTTGAGGGTATGTACAGCTAGTGTTATCAAAAGACTATGTGGAACACACAAAAAGGTAAATGGCCTTTAGGACTTTGGCAGAATATATTGTCCAGGGTGTGATGGAAACATATTTGTCAGAAGGGTGTCCCAGAGTGTGTCCCCAGAGGGGAATTGGTTGGCAAGAGTCTAGGACACAAGGAAAGTGCACAACTTTCCTCCAAGTTGGGAAAATGCTTGTCTAATTTCTCTCTCAAAATGGCAGACATGGCCTTATTAGGAGTTCTTAACCTTGGGTCCACAAACTTTTTAAAAACACATTTTAATGAGTGTATTTTAATACAATTGGTTTCATTTGTCATCCTACATCCTTTAATTTTTTCACTTAAAAATATCATTCTGAGAAGGGGCCCATGGATAGCACCTGCTTGCAAAAGGGGTTCATGACACACAAAAATTAAGAACTCTTACTTTTGATTGAATGTGCTGACCTGCTTATAAAAATATAAGCCTTTGGAGGATTGGCAGATTAGGCTTTTCTTAGATTACTAGTTGACTTTGCAATTATAGCAATTCAATTCAATTCAGCAAGCATTTATTATATACCTACTAAGCACAAAGCATGATACTAGGCTCTGGAGGTAAAAGATTAAAAAACAAGCCCCAAAGGAGCTATTGGAATGAACCAATATGTAGAGAGATAAGTAAATTTAGAGTATATAATGAGCGAATAAAAAGTAATTCAGGTGTGCATGGAGAGCAATAAAAACTAGGGTAAGGAATGACTCCATTTAAGAGGTAGTGCTTGAGCTGAGCCTTTAACAGACCTAGGTGTCCCAAGCGGCTGAAGGTAAGAAGGGAGAACACTCCAGGCATAGTGCATACCTGGGATGAGGGCACCGAGGTGGAAGATGGAATGTCATTTATAGAAATCCACAAGGAAAGCCAGTTTGACAAAAACAGAGAAAGCATGAGGAAGAGTAATGTGAATCAGTCTAGCAGGATGGCCTGGAACAAGATTATGAAAGGCTTTAAATGCTAGAAGTCTGTATTTTTTCCTAGAGATAATAGTGAGCCACTGAAACTTCTCGAGCATGATCAGATTTGTGCTTTAGAAAAAATATCAGCTTGGCAGCTGACTGAAGAATAGATGGGAGAGAAGGGACAATGAGAGCAGGGAAACCAATTTTCAGACTACTGCAGTAGTTCAGGTGATAGGTAATGAGGCCCAAACAAAGTTGGTGGGTGTGTGAGGAAAGAGACAAGAATAAACAGCACAGGGGCAGCTAGGTGGTACAATGGATACAGCACTGGCTTTGGAGACAGGAGGACCTGAGTTCAAATGTGACCTCAGACACTTGACACTTACTAGCTGTGTCTCCCTGGGCAAGTCACTTAACCCCAATTACCTCACAAAAAAAAAAAAAGAATAAACAGGACAGGTGAAGAAAGATGTAGAGGAAGAATCAACATGCTTTGGAAATGTAGCCAACTAGTCATTCTTCCAAAAATAGTTTACCTGGGATTTACATTAAATAATTATAGTTACATTGGCCATTTTAAATTGTTATGTGACTCTATAATATTCAGATTGTGGATTTATTGCCAGCAAACAAAAAAATTAGAAATTTTCTTCAAGGCAAGGTGTTTTAGAATAAGATAGAAGTTTAAAGGAAGAAACTAAAACTCTCAAGAGCTCATACCAAGACAAAATATATTAAGATTTATTACCTTACAATAGAGTTGGCATTCAGTTTACTCATCTGTAAAATGGGGATAATAATAGCACTTACTTTACAGATTTGTTATAAGGACCATATGCGATAACATATGTGAAGTTCTTTGAAAGTCCTATCGTGCTATGTGTTAGTTTTATTATTATTATTATTATTTAGTTAAAATGATATTTTAAAATAATGTCTTCTTAGCACCAAATTTTGTAGTTTTATAAAAGCAGTAAATCTTACCTTTCAGTTTTATTTTTCTGAAGTACCTGAAAGCAACAAGGAGGAATTGTGGGACTATCACAATCAAAATGAAAATGATCCGAGCCTACAAAGAAATACATGTTAACATGAATTACATAAGTTCTATAAATTCAAGTTAGAGCAGGTACAGATTTTTAATATTTCAAATGGAAATAGCATCATTTATAAAGACCAAAAAAGGAAGTAATAGAGTCAGAAAGAAACAAGTAATTCCAAACATCCTCCCATCAAAGAAAAATTTCAACAACTTGTTTCAATATTAAAATTTACAAAACCTCTTGACTTTCAATAGAGGTGGGGCATTAGGGATGGCCATGGAATGTTGCATAGTCTATGCTGTCAGACAATCACTATGATGATTCATTTAATTTAAATTATTCTTTGTTAAAAAGTTAAAAGTAGGGAGTAAGTTTAAGGGAAAATCAGTGAGGTATGTAAATAAAAGGTAACAATAAAATTTGTGCAGTCAATTGATTTTCTACTGTTATTCTGTTCCTAAACAATCACAAAGTAGCTCACTTTAGGTTGGACTGAGAGATTTGGGGTTTTTTGTTTTATTTTATAAAATGAAGTTCTATGAGGGTAAATAACATTTATATTTAAGGCAGAGATTTTTTTTTTAAGATAGTACTTATGTCAACAAATATATACTTGCAGATTTGATTGCTTAACTGATTTGGAGTCAGCACATACAACATAGAAAACTACAATATTAAAAATCCTTCATCTAAGCCAACACTACCTAAAATTCCTGGAATTTATGGCACTTAGAACTAGCAACCATTATCAACATACTCAGCATCTGTATAAATAGTCCTGCAGAGTTTACAAAGTGCTTTCACATCTATTCACTTGATTGTCAAAATTTTGTTGTGTTTATTCCAAGAGCTCCTTGTCCATATGTTTGCTTCTAATTTAAAGAATCGTCAGAATCTAATTTTATTCACATTCGTTTTAAGACAAGTTCCTTCCATTACAGTTTTCTTCTTTTATGCCCTCTTTCAAATTTCACTGGTATAACAGAGTGACCACCTTCTTTAGGAACTTAAAAGTTGCAAAATTCAACATGACTATAAACAGACATATATAAAAACACACAGAGACACATCTGGCTGAATACACCTACCACGATATAGTGATCAGTTAGGAGAATGAATGATGGCATAAAGTCAAATTTGATAGGAATGTCTCCTTTTATAGAAAATATGTGGTTAACAGTGTTATTTCTTCCAGTGGAATCCTAGGTATAAAGACAATACAAAATCATCTTTCACACTCATTTAATATACTTTACAATGGACCAAAAATATTTATAAGAATACTTCCCACAAAAGCAGTAATAGTTCTCACTAAATCTATTAAATTTGTTCTTTTATTCCTTTGCCTCTTTATAAACGCATCCAAACAGTGGCTCCTATATTGGTGCTACTTAATTTCTTGCTTAAACTTTATTGCTTGAAATGTGACAGTGCCTTTAAAACTGAGGTGTGAAAATCACTTTAGTCTTTTGAGTTAGTAAAAGGAAGCTAGTCGAAGCATCTAGAACCTACTATGTTTGCAGAACCTTACAGGGAATGAATGGTTAATATGTGGCATGTAAAAAGGTATAAAGAGGTAAAATTCAGTTTTGAATCTTGAATTCAATTTTAATTTATCAGTACTGTATGTTGAAAGCTGGGATTCTTCCATTGTATGAGAGGGCTGATAAAAACCTTCTTCTGGTACATGATTTCATATTTCCTTGAGGATACAGCTAAGTAGACAATAAGGTCTCTTCTTTGCCTCAATTTTTTCTTTTCTTCAAAAAACATGTCTTATTTATTTTAACATTCTTTTCTTTTTAAGTTTTGAGTTCCAAATTCTCTCTCTTTTTCTGTCTCTCCCCTTTTTGCCCCTCTCCCACCCACTGAGAAGACAAGCTATATGATATCAATTATACATGTGAAATCATGAAAAGCACATTTCCATATCAGCCATATCACAAAAAAGGAAGAAAAATAAAGAAAGAAAACTACTTCAATTTGCATTGTTCATCAGTCTTTCCTCTGAAGATGGACAGCATTTTGCATCATGACTCCTTTGGAATTGTTTTGGATCATTGTATTGATTATAGTAACTAAGTCTTTCATAGTTAATCATAATTACAACATTGCCGTTACTGTGTACAATGATCTCCTGGTTCTACTCACTTTATTGTGCATCAGTTCATAAAGGTCTTGCAAAGTTTTTTCTAAAACCACCCCCCTCAACATTTCTTATAGCACAATTGTATTCCATCACAATCATATGCCACATTTTATTCAGCTATTCCCTAACTAATATGTCCTTTCAATTTCCAATTCTATACTACCACAAAAAGAGCTGCTATAAATATTTTTGTACATATAGGTCCTTTTCCTTTTTGTTTTTTATCTCTTTTGGGATATAGACCTAGTAGTGGTATTGCTAGGTCAAAGGGTATGCATGGTTTTAAAACCCTTTGGGCATAGTTCCAAATTGCTCTACAGAATGCTTGAATCAGTTCACAACTCCACCAACAGTGCATTAATGCACCATTTTTCCCACATGCCCTCCACCATCTATCATTTACCTTTTTTGTCCTATTAGCCAATCTAATAGGTATGAGGTAGTACTTCAGAACTGTTTTAATTTGCATTTCTCCAATCATCAGCGAGGGCATTTTTTCCTATGGCTAATAGATAGCTTTGATTACTTCATCTGAAAACCCTTCATATCTTTTAATCATTTATCAATTAGTGAATGGCTATTATTTTTATAAATTTGACTGTTCACTGTATATTTGATAAATGAGTCCTTTATCAGAAAAACCTGCTTCAAAATTTTTTTCAGTTACTATTGCTAACTGTAGTTCCCTCCTTCCTATTCCTCCACTCCCATTCATTCTATTCTCTCTCCTTTCACCCAGTCTTTCCTCAAGTGTTTTTTCTGATTACCCCCTCCCTCAATCTGTCCTCCCTCCTACCACACCCCGCCTTTTCTTATCCCCTTCCCCTCCTACTTTCCTGTAGGGCAAGATAGATTTCTATGCCCAAATGAGTGTGTATATTATTCCTTCTTTGGAATTGCTCTTATTTTTATAAATTTGAGAAAAGAGACTTTTATCAGAGAAACTTGCTGTAAGCATTTTTTTTTGATATTACTTCATTGTCTATGATATTTTTAAGCAAAATGTAGTTTCCCTGATTATCTTGTTAAATTAGGTCTATCTGTGCTTTCACTTTGTCTGAGAGCATGATTGCTTTGCTGTTGTTCAGTCGTGTGAATCATGTCTGAATCTCTGTGACCCCATTTGGGGTTTTCTTGGCAGAGATACTAGAGTGGTTTGCCATTTCCTTCATTTTACAGATGAGGAAACTGAGGCAAACAGGGTTAAGCAACTTGCCCAGGGTCACACAGCTAACAAGTGTCTGGGGCCAGATCTGGACCCAGGAAGATGAGTTTTCCTGATTCCAGGTCTAGCACCCTATCCACCATGCCACCTAGCTGCCTCATGACGGCTACTTCTGCCTTTTTTACTTTTTACTTCAGCTGAAGCATAACAGATTCTAGTTCAGCCTTTTATTTTAAATCTGCGTGTACTGTGTTTCAAATGTGTCTCTTTGTTTGATTCTGTTTTCTAATTCATTCTGCTGCCCACTTCTGTTTTATGGATGAGCTCATCCCAGTCAAATTCACAGCTATAATTACTGTGTATTTCTCTCCATCCTATTTTTGTCTGCTTATCCTTCTTTCTCTTTTTAACCTGTCCCTCCTCAAAAGTTTGTTTTGCTTCTGATCCCTGCCTCCCTTAATCTTTCCTCTCTTTCATCATCTTATCCTCTTCCTCTTATCCCCTTCCCATCCTATTTCCCTACTGGGTAAGATAGATTTCTTTATACAACTGAGTGTGTATGTATGTGTGTATATATATATATATGTATGTGTATATGTGTGTGTGTGTGTGTGTGTGTACGTGTGTATGTGTGCATTTTTTCTTCCCTCTTTGAATCAATTCTGATGAGAGTGAAGTTCAAGCATTGCCTGCTACCACTACCCACTTTACCCCCTTGACCTTGTGAGCCTCTTTTATGTGAGAAAAGTTTCCCCATTCTACCTCTCTCCTTCCCTTTTTTCCAGTGCATCCCTCTTGCACACACCTCCATTTTTAAAAAAAGTCATCCCAACATAATTGACTCACTCCCTTGCCCTCTGTCTATGTGAATTCCTTCTAATTATCCCTCTAATGATAAAGTTCTTAGGAGTTATATGTATCATCTTCCCATATAATTTAAACAGTTTAACTTTATTGAGTCCCTTATGAATACTCTCACGTTTACCTTTTTATGCTTTTGAGTCTTCCACTAGGTCAAAATTTTTTTATTTAGCTCTGGTCTTTTCATCAAGAATTCTCAAAAGTCCTTTATTTCATTAAATGTCTATTTTCCCCTCGAAGGATTATACTCAGTTTTGCTTGGTAGGTTATTCTTGGCTGTGATCCTAGTTCCTTTGCCTTCCAGAATATCCTATTCCAAGCCTTCAGCTCCTTCGATACGGAAACTGTAAAATCTTGTGTGATCCTGACTATACAGTGCTTCCAAGGTGGTGTGATCCAGGGAGAGGTGTGGTCACTGCTTTCCACCCACTAAGGACCCCTGCTGCCCTGCTGCCAGAAGCATTAATTTCCTCTCTGCCTTGGAACTGTGACCAGGATCCCTGCTCTCTTGTGACTGACCACAAGGGCTCCTCTCCACCCTGGAGCTGTGACCCAGAACTGAGTATGAGCAATAGAGTTGCTAATCAGTGCGAACTGAACCCAATACCAGCAAAAGATCTCCTGTAATCTCTTTCTGACAAGTTGTCTGACTCTCTTAATGCCTCTGAACTGAGAGCTCCCCAAGCTGCCGCCACCACCGCCACTGTTATAGCTGCCTCTGAGGCCCACGGCTGGTGCTGCTATCACACGCTGGGGCTGGCTTGCACCCTGGTGTCACAGACCTCTCCTGCTGACCTCCTAAATTGTTTTAAGCTGCAAAATATGTCTCATTCTGACCTTTTGTTGGCTCTGCCACTCCACAATCTGATTTGAGGTATTATTTTAAAGTTGTTTGGAAGGCAATGTTGGAAGAGTACTCCGCCATCTTGGTTCCACTTCCTGACAATGGGCTTTCAGTGCTGGCAAATTCGAACTGATTCACTGGAGCCTGATAGGATTGGAGTGGGGGCGGGGGGGGAGAAGTGGTATAGTGTTCAGTATTCTGGGGCTCCTGAACGTATATCTTTTGCCTATGTATATATCTGACGGTTCTGGAGTTGTCCTTGGATGTAGGTACTATACAATTCAGGAATCAAGACAGACTCACTACTGGGGAGTGCTAAGTGGTAATGACCTCTGTCCCAAGTTCAGGTTAGAGCTATTTATCAGACTTTGCTGACATATCCCACTCTCTTATTCCTTAGCATTTCATGAGGACCACTAGATGGAATAATTAACATAGTAAATCCTTAGTCATTTAGAGATTAGCCTTTTGGAATCCTTGAGGATCTGAAATATAGTTTTGAGAACCCAAAATAAGCCCTTCAAAAAAGTAATAACAAAAAACTACTCCTTGAACAAGCAACAATGGAAATAGCTGTTATCTTCTGAAGGATTACTTTAGTATTTCAACCTGATTTGGCTTTAGAAGACTAGCTATAACCAATTTAAAATAGTTAACAAATTGCAAGGCAAAGACAAACCCAGGAACTATATGAACACCATTACAAAACACTTTTCACACAAATAAAGTCAGATCTGAATTGGAAAAAATATTAATTGCTCAAGAGTAGGCCAAGCCAATATAATAAAAATGACAATTCTACCTAAATTAATCTACTTATTTAGTACCATACTAATCAAAGTACCAAAAATAAAAACTTACAGAGCTAGAAAAAAATAACATCTGGAAGAAAAAAAGGTCAAGAATATCAAGGGAATTAATGAAAAAAAAAAGTGAAGGAAGGTAGCCTAGCCATATTAGATCTTAACAAACTGTATTACAAAGTGGTAATCATCAAAAGAATCTAGTACTGGCTAAGAAACAGAGTGGTGGATCAGTAGAACAGATTAGGTACACAATACACAGTAGGTAATGACCACAGTAATCTAGTGTTGGATAAATTCGAAAATCCCAGTTTTGGGGACAAGAACTCACTATTTGACAAAAACTGCTAGGAAAACTGAAAGCAGTTTGGCAGAAACTAGGAAAAGACCAACATCTCACAACATATACCAAAATAAAGTCAAAATGGGTACATGATTTAGTCATAAAGGGTGACACTATAAGCAAATTACGGGAGCACAGAATAATTTACCTTTCAGATCTGTGAAGGGAATAATTTATGACCAAAAAAGAGATAGAGAACATTACAAGAAATAAAATGGATAATTTTGGTTACATTAAATTAAAAATGTTTTGCACAAACAAAACCAATGCAGCCAAGATTAGAAGGAAAGCAGAAAACTGGGGGAAAAAATTTATAGCAAGTTTCTCTAATAAAGGTCTTATTCTCAAATATATAAAGAACTGAATCAAATTTATAAAAAAAATATGAGTCATTCCCCAATTGATAAATGGTCAAAGGATATGAACAGGCAGTCTTCAGATAAGAATAAATCAAAGTTACCTATAGTCATATGAAAAAATGCTCTAAATTACTACTGATTAGAGAAATATAAATTAAAATAACTCTGAGGTACCACCTCACACCTATGAGATTGGCTAATGTGACCAAAAAGGAAAATGATTAATGTTGGAAGGAATATAGAAAAATTGGGACACTAATGCACTATTGGTAGAATTTTGAACTGATCCAAACCGTTCTGGAGAGCAATTTGGAACTACACTCAAAGGGCTATAAAACTGTGCATACCCTTTGACCCAGCAATACCACTACTAGGTCTATATCCCAAAGAGATTTAAAAAAAAAAAGGACCTTTATGTGAAGAAATATTTATAGCAGCTTTTTTTGTAGTGGCAAAGAATTGAAAATTGAGGAGAATGACCATCAATTGGGGAATAGCTGAATGAGCTGTGGTATATGATTGTGGTGGAATACTATTGTCTTATAAGCTGTCTGATTTGAGCAGGCTGATTTCAGAAAAGCCTGGAAAGATTTACATGAACTGATGCAAATTGAAGTGAGCAAAACCAGGAGAACATCGTACACAGTACAATCAATATTGTACGATGATTAACTGTGAATGACTTAGCTATTCTCAGCAATACAAAGATCCAAGACCAATCTGAAGGACTTATGATGCAAAATGCTATCCACCTCCAGAGAAAGAACTGATGAAGTGTGAATGCAGATTGAAACATATTATTTTTTACTTTCTTTTTTTTTTTTGTAATTTTTTATCTGTATTTTCTTTCACAACATGTCTAATATGGAAATATGTTTTGCATGACTGTACATATGTGATTATTGTTCAGTTGTTTCAGTCACATCTGACTCTTCATGACCCCATTTGGGTTTTGGGGTTTTTTTTGCAAAGACACTAGAGTGGTCTGCCATTTCCTTCTCCTTCATTTTACATATGTAACTTATATCATATTACTTGCTTTCTCAATGAGAAGAGGGGAAGGAGGGAGAGAAAGAATTTGGAACTTAAAAGAATGTTAAAAATCATTTTTATGTGTAATTGCAGAAAAAATTAAAAAAGCAAATTGCAAGGCAAAAGAAAAATGGTATCAATCTTTCAGTTTCTGAGCACAGCTAAAGTCAAATACTGAGAGCTTTAAAAGACTATGACTGGAATTATGTCTGTAAATAAGTCTTTTTTTTTGTCTATTGAAGAAAAAGTCTTTAGAGTCTTACTTGAAATAAGTACAAGTTCTTGAAATGGGGTGGAAAAACTTTGCCTTTACATTCTATGATCACTGAGTGAAAAATGAGAAAATCACAGTATCATATATTTAATGTTGAAATGGACAATAGAGACCACCTAATCCAAACCCCTCATTTTACATATAAGGATATCAAAGCCTAGAATTTCAGTGACCCACCAAAGGGGACATTGGTAACTCAAGGCTTAGTCTAACAAAGAGCTGCCTATAATTACTTTTATTAGTGACATAAAAAACAAATGATAATTTGAATGTTGCTGATAGGTCATAAAACACTGAAAGCCACAGGAAAAATAAAAATTATTATTTTTGCAGGATGGTCAAGAGAACTACTTGGGAGAAAGCTACTTCAATCTTTGATTTACAAATTAATTTTATTCAAAGGCAAAATTTATATTGGCTATCTTTATATTGCTCCAAAGTTCAGATAGTTGCTTAGCCTTCACTTCACTTTTATGAAAGGACAATGGCCAAAAAGTAAGTTTATTTCGAGGAGTTCTTGAAGAAATCAAGCTTGTATGAGAATACCATACAAATTCAGCTCAATGTCCCACACCATTTACAACTACAGCTATTGGCACACAGTAAAATAAAATGTGTGTGTGTGTGTGTGTGTGTGTGTGTGTGTGTGTATGTGTGTTATATATATATATATATATGTAATGTTGAATATGACTCCTCTGAGACAAAGCTCTTATTCTCAGTATATTCTGAGAAAGCAGAAAAAAAAATTACATCTTTAAAGACTTGTATCAAAAAATGTTTTAGATAGCTGAAGGTCAAAGTGCTGGGACTTTTTTTATCTATGAAATTTTTATCCAAACTGAGTCCTTCTTTAATGATACCAGATAACTGAAATTTATTGTATTATATTTTGGGTATGTTACAGATTAAATAGGTTTTTTTTGTGTGTGGTACCTATCATTTATAGAACTGTTTCTATGGGAAAATGTATTCTGAGTTCCAGATGGCCAACTCAGAGAACACTGTTAGGACAGTTCGTCAGTAACATAATAACCATGATTTGGGAAAACACTTCTAGGAGAAAAAAGAATTGTCACCACAGTGATTTTCCGAGAAACTTTTTTTTTTCATTTTTTTCTTTCTCTTCTATTTTCTCCTTTTCCACCACTTCTCTCATCCCCTCTGTCTATTCCTTTCTAGTTTAGGTTGCAAAGAGATGAGAAAGCTATCTCTAGATAACATAAAATTCTCACAAAGCAAAGCCCTTGCTATCAAAAGACCATAGTTTAGTAGCTCCTCTGATTTCTCCTTTCTTCTCCCAGTGTTCAATTTAAAGCAGTCTAAAGTTTTTTTGTATGTCATAGAAGCCTCTTCTTAGAATGTTTTTAAATGCATAAAATAAAATGCATAGGGTAATAAAGGAATCCTGTTACATTGAAATACAGTTATCAAAATATTAAAAAAAAAAAGTTAGACAAGGACACAAGACAATTTCAAAGGACTCATAAAAAAATGCTATCCACCTCCAGAGAGAGAACTAATGAATTCTGAGTGCTGATCGAAGCATAATTCTTTTATTTTATTTTTCTTGGAATTTTTTTGTATTTTCTTCTGTAACATGACTAATATAGAAATATCTTTTTGCATGACTTCATACATATATAATCATTATCATACTGCTTGCTTCCTCAAGGTGTGGGGGAGGTACAGGAGGGAGAGAATTTGGAACTCAAAATTTTAAAAAATGAATGTTAAAATTTTTTTATATGTAATTTGGAAATATTTAATAAGGTAAGTAAAAATATATGTTAAAAATAAACAAAACGGGGCAGCTAGGTGGCACAGTAGATAGAGTGCCAGCCCTACAGTCAGGAGGACCTGAGTTCAAATCTGGCCTCAGACACATAACACTCACTAGCTGTGTGACTCTAGGCAAGTCACTTAACCCCAACTGCCTCACAAAAACAAAAAAGAAAAATAAACAAGACACAAATTCATGGACCCCTGCATTAAGAACCTTTAGTCTGAAACTATGATTTTTCGTTTGTTTCTCTTCAGTACAAAATGAACATGATGTATAAACAGACTAATGATAAAATCAAATTTTTTTTCCCATTTGATGAGAAAATTTGCAAAGTATAGTTAAAGGTAAATTCAACTCAAACTATTAGCTTAAGTATGTGTATACGGTGCAAATTAGGGAAAAACAAAGACCTTACCTGAACATTTACCTCTATCATATGGGACTCTTCACTATAATTTCTAGGATTCCACTTCAGTATGAAAATAGGACCAGACAGATGAACAGCATTCCCCAAATAAACATTATTAATCTTAACTGTGACAGAGGTAATGGAGGATGGTGAGAAGGCCAAGATTCTAAAATGAGAATATGCATACATGTATGATGTTAAGAATTTGGGTCTCTTTTTCTTAGAAAGGATGTAGTCTGATACGGGTATACTGAAAAGGCACAGCTGAGAAAAAGGGTTTTGTTTTTCTGCTTTCTGGGAAAAATAGAAACAGTTTACTTTGGACAAAGCTGAATTACTTAGTTAGGCTGGATCAAATGCTGTTGAGGACCTTGAACATGAAAACTAACTTCTTGCTCAGGATCTATAATCCTATGATTCAAATCCTGAGTTGCATCTAAAATTAGGTGGGTAAGTCAAGATAGGGCAGCTGCAGCAGTCAAGATTTAAGTTCAAATCCAGCCTCAAATACTTACTAGCTGTGGGATCTTGGGCAAGTCACTTAATCCTGTTTGCCTCAGTGTCCTCAGCTGCAAAATGAGCTGGAGAAGAAAATGGCAAACCAGTATAGCATTTTTGGCAAGAAAACCAAAAATGTGGTCACAAATAGTTGGATGTGACTGAAACAACTGAACAACAACAACAAAGTGAAAGAGGAATGATTTGGATAATCGGTTTTAACCTAAAGAGGAGCTGGTTGGTACTTCTCACATTAATCATGCTTCTGAAGCTTTTAATACACAGCCTAAGGTTCCATACTTTTGATAACATATTATAAATTGGTTTGCCATTGGAGGGTCTATGGTCCAGAAGAAAAAGAATGGACTTACAAAAGAAGTTATTTCAGACACCATCACTAACTGGGATCTCAGTGTAACCTAGGTGAATCTTGTGACTGTTCTACCTTTTCATTTCATGTAACTCTTCCAAGTGTGGGAAACATTGGGGCCCACTGGCTACATTTAGCTTATTTAGTTCACAAGTATTAAGAAATTTATTTTAATTATGCCCAAGGTGTGATTCCATATGACCTTAAAAACTTTTTGCTATGGTATTCTAAAAGACCAAGATATGAATGCTATTCTATGAAGATAGTCTTTTCTCTATGAGATGACATTCCTCAATTTCCAAAGCAGATAGCGCCTAATGTATAGTAATAATAAATGCTTATTGACTGATCAGGCTTAGAAACAAAGAAAAGACAAAATTTTTAGAATTCTTGTACATCAAACATTAGAGATTAAAATGCTATAATTATGGCAAGCTTATCTATTTTTCTTAAATAAAGGAGGTGTAATTTTTTTTCAAAATAATAGTATTAGTAAATGATCACTGCTCCAAATGACTAATAAAGGAAATACAAATTAAAACAACTCTGAAGTTTCATTTCATATATTGGCAAGATGGCAAAGGAAAGAAATAGTCAACATTGGAGGGGCTGAAGAAAGACACACAAACAGACTTTTGTTGGAGTTGTGAATTGATCCATCCAATTTGGAATACAATTAGGAATCATGGGAGAAAGAAGTCACAAAACTGTTCCTACTCTTTGACTCACTACTTAGCATGTATCCCCAAGTAGGTCAGAAGGGCCTCATGTACGCCAAAATATGCGTAGCAACACTATGTTGCTTGTAGCAAAAAACTGGAAAGAAAGTAGGTGCTCATTGATTGGGTAACAGTTGGAAAAAATTAGTTCTATAATTGAAATATTTCACTGTAAAAAATGGAAAACAGGAGAGTTACATGAGAAAATTTGAATGAACTAATGGAGAGTCAAAGACAGCAGAACCAGAAAAGATACACAATGACTAAAAATAACGTAAATGAGAAGAACACTAAAACCATTCAACACTGAGTAACTGGCTCTGAAAGAGATGAGAAAATGCTTCTCTGCCCTCAGTATAGAAGAGGGGACTATAGTGTGTCACTTGGCTTTGCTCTGTTGCAAGGGAAAGAGCTCATCTGGACATGAGTAGGGTAGATTGAAACAATTGTAACAGAAAATAAAGGCATCAGGAAAACGATTTTTTAAAAAAATGTCTTTGCCTCACAAAGTTTTCAAGTTTGAATTTCTGTCTCTATAGAACAGTTCACTATCTTTCCCATCCCTAACTCCTTTTCCTTCCCTTCAACTAACCCTCACATAGAACTAAAATAAATTTTTATTATTTCACTGAACAAATGTTTACTATACTGCATTGCTGCTTACAACAGAATTTAATGTTGGCCTCTGAATTTTTTTTTAATATGGGTTATGAGTTCCTTACAGAAAACAGATTACTATGATAAAACATACCTAAGGCCTTTTGAGCAAAGGCATGCTCAAAGTTTCAATTACGCTATTGTTTATTTTTGCAAAACGGTTTTTCTTTGCTACAATGGGAGTCTAATTATGGGTCACAAGAAGTGGTAGATGCAGAAATGACAGTTATGCAAAAATAAAAGTTATCCAGAAATGACAGTTATGCAAAAAAAAGTTACCAATAAAAAACTATTTCTAAATGAAAAAAATTGAAAAAGAAGAGGTTTCTAAAAATATGAAATACTGAAATTTTAAGTCATAAATAATACTTTCTGCTTTATAACTAGCACTGGGATTTCAGTTTAGTCCTCTTAAGAAACATTTTATTTAGCTAGTAATTTCACACTAGCTTCTGCTTTGAACGTACCAAAAAGTTACCCTATATAATCTTAGATAAATAGTACTCAAGACTAAAAAGATTAAGAACCTCTCTAAGAGCATTATTACCAATGTCCTACCGATATACTATGAATTTTTATTAACTGTTACAATGAAGAGCTCAGGAGAAAGGCGAGTTAGTGGGAATTGGCAATGCTATAAAGAATATCAATAAAATATATTTTTAAAGTATATAGTTTATCCTTAAAATATTCAGAGAAATTCCTCTAGGAAACTGATACAACGATAAATGTTTGTTAGAATTTATATTTAATTGTAAAATCAATATTTATCATTGGGATCAACTGTACCAATCAGAAAAAACACTGACTTGTCTAAAAAAACCAAACATTTTTATTATCATATTTTGCTAGTGAGTCCAGTCTCATCACAACAAAATTTGTATTGTACTTTCTGAATAAAGAAGAAAGTTACTCAATGTATGAAATGTAAGGAAAGAGAATAACTGACTGGATTTGAGTAAGCCTTAAAATTTACCATTGCCAGGTTCCTCTCTAGCTAAAAGATCAATGACTTACTTGACTGCAGAAGAGGCTACAATGATCCCCATTAGCACTAGGGAGAGACAACTGATTCCCCTCTAGCTGCCTTCTCCTGCTCCTTTCTGCACTTCAGGTACCATCAACCAGCAGCAATTACTGCATAGTTATCCTTTACAAAGCGCTTTCCTAGCTGCAGTGAGGAAGTACAAAGGAAGACACAGGCACTGTCCCTCAAGGAGCTTATTTAAATTAAAAAAACCATAAACTGACAGCAAATCTCTCTAGGAGTATTAATTTATTAGCAGCAGCATACACGTCCTCCAACATGTCCTGAAGGTCTGTTAAGAGTGGTTGAAAAGAGGCAGCTAGGCAGTGTAGTGGATAGAGCACCAGCACTGGAGTCAGGAGGATCTGGGCTCAAATCCAGCCTTGGACCAGACACTTGACTCTTAATAGCTTGTGATCCTGGGCAAGTCACTTAACCCAGATTGCCTCACCAAAAAAAAAAAACCCAAAAACAAAACAGTGGTTGAAGAAACTGATTATATATGACTAGTAGAATACTGTTGCAATGTAAGAAATTATAAATATAAGGAATTCAGAGAAACCAGGAAAGATAAGACTTGTATGAACTGATATAGGGAGAAGTATGCAGAACTAGGAGAATAACAAATATAACAACTACCATAATATAAAAGAAAACAACACTAAAAAGATATCTGAATTCAGATTAAATGCAATGAACGATCTCTGACCCAGAGAACGAGGATGAAATTAACTTCCCAATGGCAAGAAAGAAATATTGTACATAACAGAGGTAGGTTTTGCTTAAAGGTTTTTCTTTATTACCAAGAAAGGCTGGGAAGAATGTGGTTAAATGCGGAAATAACTGTAGTGTTTTAAAATGGCATCAATAAAATTTTTTAAAAGAGTGGTTGAAATATGCTTATTTAAACATAGTTTATTTAAATTATTAAATTTTTATTTTAATAGTAAATTATTAAAACATAGTTTTGCCAATGCTTTTGCCAAATCTTTAGATTAGAAGACAGCTGTTACTTACAACTGCTTTCCAATGTGAGGGGAAATTATGCTGGGAGAAGAAAAATGAGGGTGAAGTGACAGTCAAAAGTCCCATGGAAATAGAGGCAGCTATGTGGTGCACTGGCCCTGGAATTAAGAGGATCTAAGTTAAAATCTGACCTCATACATTTACTAGCTGTGTGACCCTGGGCAAGTTACTTAACCCCAACTGCCTAAAAAAAAAAGTCCTATAGAAAAATCAATTAAAACAATTAGAGGTATGAAAGTTCAAGGAAAAAAAATTAAATTCAGGAAGAAAATTTGATTACTTATACCTCCCTTCCCAGTGCTCTCCAGCTAAGACCATTAATAACCAACGCAAAATTTAACTCTTACATACTAATTGAAAGCTTAATGGAAAAGGCAGAGTAAGAAAATCCTTGGATGTTGTTCATGTTACCTAGAAGAAGTTAAGCTTGGGAAACATAAAGTATTCATGTGGAAGTTCATTCCCAATGGCCTATTCCTTTAAATACTAATCTGAAAAAAACTCAAGCTTTTTCTGTACCTGATGTGTGTGGAGTAGAGGAGTCTCTCTAGAGGCTCATGTGTGGAGCTGCTGTAGAGAAATGACTTGGGGTTTGTGATGAGCACTACTGGCCACTTGTCAAAAACCAAATCTGCAAAGCTAAAGAGGTCATGGTCAAAAGCAAAGATCCGGTACCTGAAGGCCAAAAGTTAAAAAGGTAATTTAGTTACATGAGATCAATGATAGATATTATTTATCATATTAAAGAAAGATATCACATCTATTCTTTCTAATGTTTTAGCATCAATGAGTATTTTATCAAAGACCTTTTCTGAGTCTAATGATAAGATCATGAGATGAATACTTTGTATGGGATATACTGAAATTACTTTTCCTAATGCTGTCATTTTTAAGTATCACCCACTTATTCATGATTTTTAAAATGAATTTGCTTGCATATTTTGATGTATCCAATTTGCTAATATGTAACAGAATACATCCATTCTCATTTGCAAAATTGGCCCATAATTTTTTATTTACAATGCTGCCTTATTAAACATAATATTTTAAAAATCTAAGTACAGTCTCTTGCTGTTAAATACTTTCTTACTAACTCAGTAGTCAGAGGAATTCTCAGTATCTATATGTGATACAACTGTGCAATTATTTTAAAACTTGTTACTTTGTTACATTACAAATGCTCATTAAAAGCAGCTTAATACAGTAGACAAAAGCTTTTATCAAAAAGCCTTTGAAGTTCAACTACTTCCTCTGACACATACTAGTTGTGTGTTCCTTGGCAAGTAGTTTAACTTCTTAATGCCTCAGACCATTTACTAGGAGTTAAAGTTACAGATGAGACCCAGATGTGATTTGCACAAGTGGAAGAATACAAAGTTGAAACCACAGATTTGAACAAATAAATAAATGTTCATAAAATCTTGTCCCTTTAAAAGCAGAAACCCTGACAAGAACACAGGGAGAAGCACTTTGGCTTAATGAAAAACTTGGCATTACGCCAAAATGTATCTTCTGGTTGAGAAAAGGGACATATTAGAGACAAATTAGTAGGGAGTGATCTAACAGTATTGACACCCACCATCTAGAGCCTTAAGAATTGTATCAAGTCTTAGAATAATTATAACCTTAAGATACTTCCTGTGATGTCATTTCCAGGGTCACCACAGGAATCAAGCTGCTGCCCAGATCTGTAGCCATTTTTCATCTTCTAAACCTTAAAAAATGAGTCCTAGACTAGCTGTATAGCGGAGTAGAGGAAGTTTCAAAACCACCTACTAACAGCTGCTGATGTTGAGAGGCAGTATAGTAGATACCTTTTTTAAAAACTTTGTTCTGTACAATAGAATACTTCTCTTTATAGAGATCAGTTACCTATGGTTTTTAACAGAGCTCTTTTTTATGTTGGCAGAAATGGAGACAAATAGGCAAATTAATTTTTTGCTGGCAGAATGGTCAATCTGTCCAGTCAAAATTTAGAATTTTGCAATAAAACTTACAGAATTGTTCATTTTTTTGACCAAGTGATCCTATTAACGATTTTATACCTTGAAAAAATTGATGACAAGAAAGATATCTGTACAAAAATATTCATAGTAGCACTATCTATAACAGCAAAAGAGTAGAGCTTGTATGCTCAACAATCAGGGAATAGCTAAAAGATCATGGTAATATATTACTATACAGTAGGGAATGACAAATATGAAATGTGGGAAGACTCACTCAAATATTGGTAGACATATAGTGATGCAAAGTGAACACAAGAAAATCAATACACACTATTGCTGAATTGTGTGAATAAAAGCAACTTTAAATAGCAACAATTCTCAGATCAGAAACATTAGACCACGTTGGCATTAATCCCCACCTTTTAGCAAATGGAAAACTACTAAATTGTAAAACTACAAATACTACCATTTTTATATTTTATTTAATGGTTTTTAGGAATTAAAGAGAATTCAAGTGGGGAATATGCATAGGTTTTTTGTGTAATATATCAAAATGATTCATCAATAAACATATTTTTATAGATTTATATCTTCAATTAAAGTAGCTTTATCCTGATATTTTATCACATATATCTAAAGATAAGTAAACTGGGTGATCAAAATTCCATACTCCAAAGTTCTACCCCAACCCAGCAGCCTATTAGAAAGCTGGCATCAAGTTCAGGAAAGAACATAGCAGCCTCTTGCTGGTTTCTATGGTTCTCTCACCTCCTGTTTTCCTTCCAATCTCCTAGCTCTAGTTCCAGAGTGCCCTTCGGATGTCGAGTGTGCAAAACAGGCATCAGTCCACCAAGTAAATGGAGATGGCCACAGAAATATGCTACGGCAGAACTAAATGAAAAAAAAACAAAGAATATTTATAGGCTAGGTAAAATATCATTATCTTGGGATGATCCCACAGAATAATGGAATGAAAAGGTATCAAGCCTAAACTACCAATTTTGGATCTATAAGTTCTGCCTTACCTCATTAATGGCCGTATTCCTGGAGCTGGAGAGATGATAGTAGATGTTGGATAATGTCCAAACCAAATACTATGGTTGCTATGCCTACTCTGCTTAGCCAGTAAATCAAGTGCCCTCATTTGTCTCTGAAATGGGATGGAAATCACATGATCTTTCGTTAGTGCCCAAGCTGAAATATGCCAAATTTACATAAAATTTATATTTTTCTAAGTGTTTTCCTGTATAATCTCTTATGTGGTCCTAACCATAATTCTGTGAATAGCACAGTTACTACAAAAATTTTACAAAGATAGAAATATAAAACTGTGACTTGTCTAAGGTCAAAAAGTAACTCAGTGACCCTGCAGAAAAAAGAATCTAGTTCTCCTGTTTAATCTGCTTCACTAAGCTTCCTAAAAGAAAACCTGTAAGCAGACTTTTAAAATAAAATAACTAGTATTTATAAGACTATCTCCACACTGAGATACGGGGGCAACAGTCTATACATAGTTCTGCTATTCTGCTGATACTTCTAAAATCATTAAAAACTAAAACCCTCATTTAGGTGCCAGAGAAGGTATATATGTGGCTGAAACCTAAATATTTTTTTATACAGCAAATCATCCATTTTCTCTAAGAAATTATTAATATGTAGGTTTTATGGCAAAATTTTACCTAGAGCTATTTAATAACTAATAGCCAAGATCCGACTTCAGTGATTCTCAAATGTGAACACTACACAAATATAGTGCAGTAATAGTTGATAGCTAACTTTGCAACAACAACAAAAAAGCTTTAACTATTTGCTTAGCGTAAAATACAGTCCATAAGTAGAAAGTGGCAATAGATGGGGGTTAAACAGTATGAGAGGGCACTATATACCAGGCACTGCATTATAAACAGCAACTGCTATAACCAGAGTGAAAATTTAAGAACCCATAGATAAGGTCTCATTCACCAGTACAGCTCAAGAAAGTCCGATGTACCCAAGCCAGTTAAAATGAGTAGATTATGAAGAGAACTAAGACTTTTACTATACCTTATTTAGTATTCCATAGAAATTAAAGGGTTTCTTGGGCCCTGGGGTGATGGTAGCATCCACATAGATGAAAGAGTAGTTTCCAAAAGGGGTCTTATGGAGGTAATGCATAGGGCCATGCCTACGTAAGGCAGAGTATCTCCTACAGAAATAAGATAGGGATGTTTTCAGAGCAATCCAAAAAGAACAGAATTTATATTTTCACTCTGAGATCACGCTAGATTTCACTTCCTAATCAAAGGAATAATTTAGCATATAACAGACAAGAAGCAGCTAAAATGAATTCTAAAAATTGTCTGGAGTGACTTTTCACATTCTCTATACAAATATTCCTTTGAAGTAAAATGCCAAGCCCACAAGAGATATGCATCACACATCTTGTGGTTCACAACTATACAGTGCCTATTGTTGTTGTTCAGTCATTTTTCAGTTGTGTCCAACTTTTCATGACCCCATTTGTAGTTTTCTTGGCAGAAGTGGTTTGCCATTTCCTTCTCTAGTTCATTTTACAGATGAGGAAACTGAGGCAAAGAGGGTTAAGTGACTTTCCCAGGCCACACAATTAGGGTCTGAGGCCAGATTTGAACTCGGGAAGAAGAGTCTTCCTGACTCCGGGCCTGGCACATTGGTACACAGTGCAGAGGAAGTCTTATTTACAGTATAATTCTCATACGTACTGGAACACAATGTGGTAGAGATGCAATTGATTATTCCAGCATGCATTCACTTTAATTTTTTTTCTTACTACTATTGAACTTTTCTTTAAAAAGCATCCCATCCCATGATGTACTGAACATCCTATTGATCATAGAGAAGATACAATTCCTGTCCTCTAGAATCTATCATTCTAAAGAGACAAAGTATAGGTAGTAAATATGCTTTACTGAATGTCAAAATTTCAGCAACAAATTCAGTAATTTGGCCAACACTCCTTAAGTATCTACCATGTACATAACCTCTACTGTCCAACACTAACCCCTCAAAGTGGTGTAGTGATAACCCGGGGTTCACAAAGACTATACCAATAGAATGCAAACTTTAAGGCCTAGCAACCGATGAGCTTTCTGGTATCAGAGGACCACTCTAAATAAGTCTGAAATGACTCAAGAGGGTTGGCCACCTGGTGATACATTTTTTCATCCCCAACAACTCATGAAGATCATTTTCTAGAGCATAGAAGGAATGGTAATCTGTAATGGTGAAAAGAATATCCACACTGACAAAATCACAGATCCTTTAAATATCTGAAGAAGCAGGAATATCACTGTGCTAAGTGGTAGGGAAATGAAAGTTTAGATATGATCTGTACCCTCACAGGGCTAATCGTCTAGGGGAGGGATTTGATACAAATAATGATGATAAAAAATACTACATGATAAGTCTATCAGGGAGGGACAAAAATATCAGTGTTATATGAGAGCTACAGAGGAAAAGGTCATTTTGGAGGAAAAGAAGATATCGTAAGCATAAAGAATAATGGGTGGGATGGGGGCGGGGGAGAAGCATGCAGGGAAGGCAGGAAAATGCAGGATGTATAAGGGGAAAAGTCTAATTTGGCTACAGTATCACAGAACATGGAAGTGAAAGTAGTACGAGATAAGACCAGAAAGGGAGGATGATACTAGACTATAGAGGGCTTTGAATGCCAGGCAAAGGAATATGAACTTAATTTGACAGACAACAGACGGCTACTGAGGTCTTTTGAATTGAGGAGCAACATGACCCAGTCATGTTCCCATGATCCATGTCTGATAGAGGTCTCTCCACTGATTGGAGCAAGGAAAGAGTCCTGGTAGGAAGGTTCAATGCCACAGAACAGGTAATTATAACTCTCAGGAGGGCAAATAAAACTGACAGGCCATAGCTTACTCTTGGATATACCTAACATTTGAATAGTCAAGTGTCAGAAAACAATTTGGAATTAATGTGAGAAAAGTGATTAAACCATTCATATCGTTTGACCAAGAGACCCATCCCATAGCTGTGTATATCTTCCAAAGAGGTCAGACAGAAACAAAAATCCTATATATACTAAAATATTTTTAGCGGTACTTTTTGTGATAGAAAAAAAAAAGTTGGAAAGGTCAGTAATCAATTGGGAAATAGCTCAACAAATTGTGATGTATGAATATACTGCATTGTTATTGCACCATAAGCTTAAATGAATATACGTGATTATTTCAATAATACAAAAGAAGAGAATACTAAGCTGAAGACAAATTCTGTGTAACTTGAATGACAAGTCTTGGTCTCAGAGAAGAACTAAGAGAATGCACCTCCTTTCTTTCCATGGGGAGAGGGACAAAGGCTCAAAGAGATGCTTTCAGTACAAAATATTGCCTATAGTGCCAGACGGTTGTTATGCCTTCCGATTTTTGCTTAATCTTTTTTCTTTGTTTCAAGGTAAGATGGGTAGAGTGGGGTGGAATAGGAATGTCTCAAGAATGACTTTAATGTAAAAACAAAAAACATGAGTAACACCTTTAAAAATTAAAATGAAATTAAATGTGTTAACTTCCAAGTTATTAGACAGATTAAATGGTATATGTCTTTCAATAACTAATTTCTATGTTTTCAGTTTGCATATAAAGATTCCTATGTGTAAGAGGTGTTTGGGTGTTTGTGTGTGTGTCTGTGTATATATTTTTTATTTTGTTTTTGACTTCTTCCTTCAGTTTAGGTAGGTGTTTTCATCTTGGGATCTATGGTGTCGGTGCTTTTTAAAAATCTTTTGACATCTGTATTTCAGCATAATGGGTTTCCTTGGCAATCCTATGTATTTCCTATGTTTATGCATTAAATACATTATTCCAAGAATGGGTCCATAGGCTTCACCAGAATTCCAAAGGCATCTCTAACACAAAAAAGATTAAGAACCCTTACTCTATGGTGTTTTATTCAGTAAACCTTTTTTTGTTTGTCAAATAATAAAAATTATCATTCCTCTTTCTTTTGTAAATGGAAATTCCAAACAAGAGACCTTCCATTAAAAAAGGTTCTATGAAAAGGTGGTAATAATTGCTCATATTTATGTGGTGATTTTCAGTTTATAAAGCATTTTCCTTACATCAACCTCAATGAAAGGTCACTGAAGTATTAAAATGGCCATTTTATATATGAAGAGACTGAGTTTTAGAAAAATGAAGTAATTTGCCTGAAGTCACAGAATTAGAAAGTGGCAAAAATGGGATTCCTGCTCAAGTCTTCAAAAACTCTGGGAAATAGTTTACTCAACAACAAATAAGAAAAATGACAAAGAAATTTCTAAAACTTGAAATTAACAGCCTTTCCCACAGCTATCTTTAAGCCATAGGACCTATGAAATATGTCTCAAAGTAAATATTTACTTGAGAAATTGTCAGTAATGTTAGAAAACTAGTGTATTTTTGAAGTAAAGTATAATTTAAACAAAGGCAGCATATTCTACTGTCTTTCCTCTCTAATACGTTTTAGATCTCTCCTTTAGGATTTTTTCTCCATTTCTGTCTTCATTAAAATTTTTTATTATTTATTGTATTTTCATTGTTATTCCTAAGAATTTCATGATCGCTTATTTACTGTCCTTATACATCTTCAGACATGTTAAGACAGAATCTGAAACCAGAGATTAAAATATAGCATTAGTATGCCTATAAATATTATTGATATTAGCATAGCATGTACTCTAAACAAGAAAACTGCACTTGTAAGATTAGAACTTTCAGATGTGCATGTATTTTTACAATATCTCTCTGTGTGTGAATATATGTGGGTCTATCTATCTATCTATCTATAAATACACATAAAGACAGAGATATTTTGATGTAATGCAGAAAATAAATCATTGATGCACTGGAGGATGGAAAATTAAATTCTCAATTTTTAAAAACATAAAGGCAAGAAATCCTGGTAGCGCTCTTTGATTTTATATTTTCCTTTAACCTCAATATCCAGTTAGTCCTATCATACCACTCAAAATGACTCTTTGTTCCATTCCTGCTTCCATTACCCTCACTCAGGTCCTCATCAAATCATGCCTAAATGATCACTGTAACCTTCTAACCAGTTTCTCTGCCTCCAATCTCTCTTCAGTACATTGCTGTCAGGTAAATCTTTGTAAAACACCATTTTTGTTATGCTATTCTCCTGGTCAGAACATGCAAGGTTTATTATTGCCTGTAATACTAAAGCCAAACTCCTCTGCTGAGTCACTCAACATCATCTATAATCTGACTCCACTCTAATATTATTTCCTATTATTGAACAGGAGCCTTCTAGATTTGCCTCAGTTTCCTCAACAGTAAAATGGGGACAATAATAGCGCCTACCTCACAGGATTGTTGTGAGGATCAAACGATATAAAACTTGTAAAGTGCTGTGCCTGCCACATAGTAGGTGCTATGTATATTGAATATATGAATATTTGAACATATATATAAATATTAGTTTATATTCTTCTTATTATTATTATTATTAGAAATGGACACTAATATACAGTTGGTAGAGCTCTAAACTGTCCAACTACTCTAGAAATCAAACTAGAATTATGTGAGAAAAGCGACTAACCCTTCATACCTAGCAACTTTTCTACTGAGCACATACCCAAGGATATGTAGCAGAAAGGTCTTATACATAACAAAATATGCAACAAAATATTTACAGCAGTACTTTTTGTGGTAGTAAAAAAGCTGGAAATAAAATGAGTGAGCATCAACTAGACAACGGCTGGACAAATTGTGGCATATGAATATGACGAAATGTTATTTCACTAGTAATTAAATTAATAAGGAAGTCAGAGAAACAAGGGTATATATGATGCAAGGGGAAGAAAACAACCCAAAGAACAATAAACACAATGACGATAATTATACAAATACTAACAACACTAAAACACAATCACACAAATGAATTTTAATGAACAATCTAGGTCCTAGAAAACTGATAAGGAATTTCACCTTATTTCTCTCAATACAGGGGTGGGGACTATGGACATATATTATAGTATACAATACTAGAGGTGATTTCTGGGGCTAGTGACTTTGGGGTTTTTTGTTTGTTTATTTGTTTTTTGTTAAAAGGAAGAATTCAATGTAAAGGAAAGAAGTTTAAGGGGATATGACTAGTAGAAAAACAAAGGTAACAATAAAACTTTTTAAAAAATGAATACAGGAAGCTTTTGTCTTAGTAAAGACAATCTCCTTATCACTCTCCATATGGTCATCTGTGCTTCTGGGTCTTCATTCATGCTTTCCCTCTTTCTCTAATGCCTTTCCCTATCCTCTTCAAATCATAACCATTCATCAAGGTCCAGATCAAACTCCTTGAAAAGTTTCCTCCTTAATGATCCCTTAAGATCCCTTTTATCATTTCCTAAAGCATTTATAGCTTGTAAGACATAATTTAGTACTAGATCATATTCTTTCTTACGTTGTTTTTTGATGTTTTCTTAAGCATGTTTTATTTCCTCAATTGGACTAGAAGCTCCTTGAGGACAGAGATCATGTCTTATACTATTCTTGTATCCCTCACAGGGATCACCCCAATGTTGAGCACAAAAGCGAAAATTAGTAAATACTTATTGTTTTAGTTAATAGGTGCAGGGTAATACTACTGTCACTGTGAAATGTATTAAAAGATGAATCCCTAATCCAGGAAAAGAAAGAAATAACTGGCTAAAGAAATGTTGCTGAAAGGCAATGGCGAAAAAAGACTTTAAGGTGTACTACAGTAAACAGGTAGAGTAAGCATAACATTATGAGAATTTTTTTTAAATGCACACAACTAAACAGAAATCCTCTGTTCTCTGCTTTCCTTATAGTCACAAAAGAGGTAACTCTCTTCACTTAATAATACAAAAGCCTCTATATCTGGATATAAAAAGAACATTTGCCAATCAGTGCTTCCCCCTTCATACTTTGTATCCCCAGTGCCTGACACAACACCTGGAACAAAACAGGCACTCAACAAATGCTTGTTGATTGATTGATATTCTCTCCAAATTGACTTTACTCTCCCCAAATCACTGTCCACACACAGTGACAAATCTATCTCCAGTTCATTTCAGTACCTGTAATAATTCTGGCTACTCTCCAGACTTGGAATGTTGAATGCATCTATAGGGGGGGAAAAAAATCAAAACAAACAAAAAACTCACACAACGGTTAATGATCAGATAAAAATTATTATTATATCTCTATAAGCACTTTATACAATAGAATGCCAGTCACTCAACTAGGAAATTAATGAAAAAGATGGTATTTTGTTACCAGGTAACAAAAGACCTGAAAAACTCTGAACTGAATACAGGTAATATGAAAATTTTATTAACAAATAAAAGGGCATATAATTGACTGAGGAATGATGAAAGCTAATATGGACCTAAAAAAAGTTTAGGGTTTGTTTTTAGCGGGGGAGGGTAATTCAGTTTTTTTTTACTTGTGACAAGGAATAGGTTTTATTTACTACATTTATGCAATCACATACTTAGGGTAAATACAGTTTTTCTGAACTGCAGATCATGTATATCTACAATAAATGCTTCCTTTGTATAAAGTACTCTACCAGGCAATGGAGGATTAGGGACCTATCCTCTCCCTATCTGACCCATAAAGAAACTCTAGGAGTTAGATGTGTTAGAATGGGTTAGAATAGATTACAGATCCTTTGTATATTCATCTGGGGATGTTGTGATTTCAAAGAAACTAGATGCTTGGTTTCCTTGCCAAAACTATTGCTCACTTTTGTCCTCTGGGAATCTATTAAATCTTCATTAACCTTGAGAACAGGCTGAAAATCCAATTGAGGCCAACAATGAAATTAAGCTAATAAGTCTCAGGATCACTTTTAACAACCCTCCTGCCAAATGAAGGAACAGTCTTCAAAACCTCTTGAGAGAAACAAACTCAGCCCTCTTAACTAGTGTGAAGGGTTCACAAGACCTAGAAGAAATTCCATAATTTCATTCTAGCAAACACTCTTTAGCATTGAGTGTTTTCACAGCTATCAAAAGTTATTTCCTATCTGAAAAAAAAAGGAGATGAAGCACAAAATTTTCATAAACTCATTCCCAGGGGAAAGGCCCTTGGGTCTGAAAACACCTAGGAGATGTATAAATCTGAGAAGAAAAAAGGTATAGTATAATATTTATTTTTATCACCTTAGCATGTAAACTATGAGAAAAAGGGCAATGACCTTTTTTTTTGTTTGTCACAAATTCACTATAGGATTTACACAAGAAAACAGATGAGATATAGTTCCAGTCCTCAAGAAGTTTATGATCTAAGGAGGAAATATATTGAGTACATAGGGATACAGGATTATAGATTTAGAGCTGGAAAGGTCCTTTGAAGCCAACAATTCAGCCTAACTACAGGTATGCTCATATCTATGTTTACGTTATTGTAATTCCAAAGGACAACTCAAATTATTTAATTGTACTAGAATCTGTTTTATTGAATATTATTTGCAGTAAATGACTCAGTTTTTGGCCTGAAAATGTTTGTTACATAGATTTATTATTTACTGCAAAAGAATCTCATGGATACCACCCATAAAAATCAGAAAAAGGCAGAAATTGACTTTATCCTCAGAGAATTACAGCTTAGGTATATTTGAACTAAACTTTGACAGCTTCTTTATAAAATGATTTATATGTAGAATATTATATCATCAAACAGACAATTATGCATTTCATGTAATAAGATAATCTCAGGATTGACTCCCAAAACTGTTAGAACTGCAAGGACCCTCAGAAATCAACCAGTCTAACCCCTTCATTTTAGAGATTTTGAGTAACCTGATACTTAGCCTTTCCCAAATTCATATACCTACTAAGTGAAAGGGCTGGAACTTCACCTCATTCTTTTGATTCCAAGCATGGGCTAGGATGCCTCTCTGATATAAAGGATAATTCTTATGGATATACACTCATTAACAATGAATAGAATAATAATTTAGACTAAAATACATACCTCAATTGGCCAATTAAGACAAATAATCTTTAAAAAGGGCACAAGTATTTTTAGGGAGGTTTATATACAAATATCTTAATTTGCCATGAATGGCCATGTATAAGAATAGTCACTAAAATAATTTCATCCCATATAATAATTTTAAAGCAACTACATTTTCACTTGGTATTAAGATTATCATGCCCCTTAGGGGATAACAATGTCATATAAGGTTTTTTACTACACATTCTGTTGTGTCTCACACAACCAGATTTGAACTTCAGCATTCAAATCTGTGTAAGAATGACCAATTTTGTAACTTAGTTCAGTTGTATTAGAGCTGGAAAACACAAACTCCAGGAGAAATGTTAGCTTCAATGACACCCAAGGGTTGGCTCCCTCTTACCATGATTTCCTCTGATATCTAGCCACTTGGTTTTTTCCATGACCCTAGTTCTCTTCAAGACAGCATGATAAGTTTGCCATTCCACTTCAAATTGCTTGGAACCCCAATGATCACTTCTTAAGCTATCTGTGAGGTCACCTGTAAGTATACAAAAAAGTCATTGATCATCCTAAAATAAATTCTAGAGGGTCAGGCAATTGTATAATTGTATAATAAACAGGATTGAGGTACCCAACACCTACCTGACTAGGAGACCACCTGCATTCAAAGCTACAGACTAAAACAGGCAAAAATTTTTAGCATAGGTTCTATTTATAAAGTCATAAATTATCTGTTTTAGGTAGATAGGAACAGAAATAATAACTGGACCTTCAACTACAGTGGTATAAGGAACTCCTGAATGAGGAAACTCCCTCTACCAATGTAGACTGGCACTTTATCTGCAACATTTAGTCTTATGTTTGTAGTTGTTTGTAGTTGTTGAGTTGTTTCAGAAGTGTCTGACTCTCCATGACCCCATCTGGGCTTTTCTTGGCAAAGATATTGTAGTGGTTTTCCGTTTCTTTCTCCAGCTCATTTTACAGATAAGGAAACTGAAGCAAACAGAGTTAAGTGACTTGCCCAGGGTCACACAGCTAGTAAGTATCTGAGGCTGCATTTGAACTCAGGTCTTCCTGACTTTAGGGCTGGTGCTCTGAGAAGTTAAATGACTTGCCTAGGGTCAGTATGTATCAGAGCACAACTTGAGCCAAGGTCTTCCTGGCTCCCAATCCAGCATCCACTGTGGATACCTTACATAACTTCTAGTTCAGGAAAACCCCAACCATCTTCTTCCACAGCCTTGCCAACCATTTTACAGGGACCATAACCTAGAACAGAGGTTCATAACCTTTTCTGTGTCATGAATTGCTTTGGCAATCTGGTGAAACCTAGGGACTCCCTTCTTAGGATAATGTTTTTAAATGCATAAAATACATAGGATTACAAAAGAAACCAGTTATACTGAAATGCAACTATTAAAATATTTTTAAAGAAAAAGTTCACACAACCAGCTGAAGAAGATCATAGAGAATTTTCTACCCTGGAATCCCCCTGTCCTGACTGATGACTGCCTCAGTTTAACAGGGGTGGGGAATCTGAGGCCTCCAGGCCACATGTGGCCCTCTAAGTCTTCAAGTGCAGCCCTGTGAATCCAAACTTCACAGAACAAATCCCCTCAATAAAAGGATTTGTTCTGTAAAACTTGGCCTCAATCAAAAGGCTGCACTCAAGAAGGCCACATGTGGCCTAGAGGCTGCAGGTTCCCCACCTCTGTACCTCTGTTTCATCTATCCTTGCTTTCCCCACTCCCACTCCACTCCTTTCCACTTCCAGAGTCAAGAACCATGATCAAATGTTACTGTTCCTGAATGGGGTGTGCTAACCTGTTTACCTATGATCTCAGTAACTTATTCCTCCCTATCTCTACCATTAGAAAGTAAGCTCTTTAAGGGTAGAGACTGTCTTTGCTTTTGTATTTGTATAGCCAACACAATACAATGCACTTTTTAAATCATTAAAATAATAACTAACATTTATATAACAGTTGGCAAAACATTTAATCCTCATTTAATGGGAGGTAGGCACTATTATTATTCCCATTTTATAGACAGAGAAACTGAGGCAGACAGATGTTAAATGACTTGCCAGGGCCACAGTATGTGTGAGACAGAATTTGAACTCAGGTCTTCCTGACTCCAATCCACTATTCCACCTAACAGCTACTGAGCTGTGAAATAACCTCTTCAAAGAGGACGGCACAAATTTCATTACAAGGTTCTAATAGAAAAAAAAATTATTAAGAAGACTAGCTGAAAATTTGTTTTGCTTGATGATACCTATTTGTACTTTTTTTCCCTCTTGCCTTTTCAATGAATGAAGGAGTGGGAGGTGGAAGGATAAGAATTCAAAACTGAAAATAAAATAAAACTGAACTTTAAAAAATCATAAAAGTGATCTAGGCAAGTATCAGATATACCCATCAAAGGTTCCACCTTAGGGGATATTAGTCAGGTTTCCTAAGGGTACTCTGTCAGCACCAGGGAGAGATGACAGAAAGATCGACCTTCAAATGACTATGCCAATAAAGAGTTTAGAGTATATTATTTGAGTCAGTCACTCAACCAGCTTTTTTTTCCCCACTAGCATTTATTAAGTACCTACTGTGTACCAGGCATAGTGCTAATAGATCAACTATTAAGTAATTGAGCCAGAATCACAGAAACTAAGGGATCAGGCAACAAGTCTTGAATCAGACATTTCAATCTTCAATAGTTCACAATTTAGAAAGAAGACTGTAGACTAGTAGAGTTAGTCCCCACAAAAAGCTCTCTTGCTCTATACTCAGTTCATTTATTCAACAAATATTCATTAATATTTGTCACAGTTACTATGTGCAGAGAACTTCACTAAGGAAAATACAACATTTGGATAGAATATAATCCCTGTCTCACAGAGTTTACCATGTAATGGGGATATGACAAGACATAAACACAGAAAATGCATAGTACCTATTAAAATAAAGGTAATTCCACCTCCTTTCTCTTAGATTCAGAATCAAAAATTCAGAAACCAAAAACAACAGAAATGTACACTCTAGACTCAAGTGTCTACATGTCTATTGTGTTTGTTACTTTGTTATAGCATCTGTGAGGTGACCTGTATGTATACAAAAAAGTCCTATCTCATTTTAAAATAAATTCCAGAGGGTCAGGCAAATACCAGGCTTACCATGAGGAGGTCGGTTGCATTTTGTCTTTCTCCCTTATAACTTCGTTATAATATGGATATTTTCTTATCATAAAGGTATGATATATGTGTGTGTGTATTATGATACAGAGATTTAAAATTTCCCAAGTGAAACACTGTAAATACAATATACTTTAGGTTCCTTAAATTTTGTTAGTGTGGCTGTTCCCTCTAATAGATAGTATGCATTATTTGTGTTTATCATAACCCTAGATAGTTTTTTTAAACCATTCCTATTTTTTGAGTTCCAAATTCTTTCCCTCCTTCACCCATTGAGAAGGCACGCAATATGAGACCCATTTTACAGATGAAGTCCTGCAAAACATTTTTCCATATTAGCGCCCTCTACACTTTAATTAGAGGAGTGGTCTTAACTAAGATAATGATTAGGATGAGGACGAGGAAGATGAGGAGGAGGAGGATAATGATGGTGATGATGATATCATCTATCACCCCACACCAACCTTCCCAGAACTGTCCAAACTCAGCTAACACCTGTCCTTGGACAACATGCTTTTCATCACCAGCTGTATTCAATGTCGATATATCTCAGCAGGACCTAGCAGAGCTTATCTATGACAGGCTGGTGGGCCCCCGGAGGACCCAGCATTGCCAAAGGCAGAGCAGCACAGCATTCCAGGCCCGGACGGCAAGGAACCACCGCTTACCCGTGGCTAAGACGACAGCAGGCTGGATGACATCGACGGTTTCCGAACAAAACTTCTCCAAGTCTGTGCCTCGGCCTGGATCATAGAACTTGCTGATGTGGAGGTCCGAGATCTGCAAAGCAGTGGTTGACATGAAACAGGGGCCCGTTGGGGAGGGGAAGCACGTCGGGCCGAGCGGCTGAGCGAGCATGGGGATGGCAAGGCCTCCCCTGGGCTAAGTCCCCACACGGGGGCTCCCTTCCCGGCCGGCGCTCCTCCCGCTGCCCGCGCTCCTCACCTGCAGGCCCCAGAAGATGTTGGTGGCCTCGGCCCCGGGCGCCGGGAAGGGTCTCTGGGAGGCTTGGGGTCGTACGGGCCATGGCGAGGACATGCCCACCAGGCCATAATGGTCGAGCAGCACGGCTGCCAGGGTCGCGGCCGCCAGCCCGGCCACCACTTTGAGCGCCAAGCCCACGGACATCCAGCCTCCGCTCAGCTCGGGCCGGCTGACAGACAGCCCGCGGTCCCCGGGAGCCGCTCTGCCGCGCACTTCCGGGGACTCTATGATCCGCCTGGGCTGGAGCCCGGCTGAAGGCCGAAGCGCCGCCCGTCCGCCAACCGCTCCGGCCGCCCTGACCTTGGGCGCTTTGTCGGGCTCGTAGGAAAAAAACTCTGTGATCTTGGTCTTGACCTTTTTACGAATCAGGAGGCAGGGGTGTGACTTGTCCAGGTCACACAGACAGGAGCATAGATCTAGTGCTGGAGGGAACCTCAAAGACGATCTAGAACATCTGCAAATAAGGAGATTGAACTCCAAAGAAGTGACTTGTCTAGGTCATACAAATTACTGGCAAAGGAAACAGGAATGACAGAAACATAGATCTAGAGCAGGAAGGACCCTCAGAGGCAACATAGTCCATTATACACATAAGGAAACTGAGGGAGGTCACAGATCGAGACCTAGACCTAGATCTGGAGAGAACTTCAGAGACCATCTAGGCCATTGGCAGCTAAGGAAATTGAGGGGAATAAGGTGCCTTACCAGAGGTCACACAGATAGTTGGCATAGGCAACAGGGCATTACAGGATCCTAGATTTAGAGCTAGAAGGGATCTCTAAAACTAAGTAGTTCAACATCATTTTACAGATGAAGAAACTGGCATAGGGAGGGTAAGCCATTTGCCCAAGACCATATACATAGAGATGTGAACCTGGGTTCTTTCCAGTAGGTCCCAGTGGAGCAAATCACTGCCCAGTTTTTCCCTCCTAAACCAAGACTGCTGAACATTTGTGAAGCTCCAGCAGCCAGCAACTTTGGATCTGACACCGGCCCCCAAATAAAAAAAGTACAATCCCCCAAACTCATTTTTCCAAGTACAATTTCCTTAAGTGTTGTAAATGTCATAGTCATAGATGTAGAGCTGGAATGACTGTAGAGGTCATCCAGTTCAACCCCCTCATTTTTTGTTGTTCAGTCCTGTCCTCGCCGTGGAGGCACCTGATGTGAGTTCCTCATCTCTAAAAATGAGCTGGAGAAGGAAATGGCTAACCACTCTAGTATCTCTGCCAAGAAAACCCCCAATGGGGTACACATCAGGTGTACTTGATTTCATTCATTTTAGCAAGAACATTGATAAGTTGTAGAGTTTAAAGGATGACATCCAAGATGTGAAGGGCCCAGATTTCATGCCATATGAGGATCAGTAGAGTGAGCTGGGAATGTTTAGCTTGGAGAAGACTTAGTAGGGGCATGACAGTTTGAAGGGTTTTCACCTAGGAGAGGAAATAGAGTGGTTCTGCTTGGCTTCAGAGAGAGCTAAGAGAGGCAAATTTAGGTTTGATTTAAACATCCTAACAATTAGGACTATATAAAAGTAGAATTAGTTGCCTCCAGAGGTAGTGGGTTCTTCATCAAAAGTCTTCAACCAAGGCTAGATGATCACTTGAAAGTATATTGTGGAGTCAATTCTTTTTCAGATATGGATTGGAAAAGGTTCTTTCCAACTCTAAAATCCTGTAATTCTGTGGCGATACTCAGATAGTGAGATCAAAGGACATCAGAATCATTACTGCAAAGTCTTTCTGCCTATCTATCTATCTACCTACCCACCTATTAAAACTGTTAACACATAATAGCCTACTGCTATTTCTCAAAGCCACTCTGACCACATGAACTCTGACTAGCAGTTCAGGTTTGCCAGAGCAAGGTTATTGATCCCCTTAGAGTCCTAGGGATAAGGGATTGGGTTTTTTCTCTAGTAATATCATTCTCGTTTCCACCCAGTGTGTTGCCTTCAGTATGATCTCTAGTTGCCATCTCTCTAATATCAATTGCTAGTCAAAAATTTCCCATTGTTATTTAACTAGTAATTATTCTAAATTTAACACCAAAAAGAGTATTTTCATATATATGTATATATATGTACCTATAAATCTGAACAAAAAAGAGGATGAATATCCATTTGTTACTTCTTGCTTTAAAAAAAAAAGTATTTGATAAATTCCACATGTTGTTTCCAAAACTATCTGGGTCTGTGCTTCCTTCGGAACTTTCTGTACTTTTATTAAAATGTTTCAATGGTTCTCTTTTTAAATTGACTATTGTCAACCCTCCTTCTCCTCCTATCCCCCCAGTTGAAAAACAGAGCAAAGGGAGGAAACGCTTTATAACAAATAAATATAATTATTTACAAGGAATCCACACACTAGCCATATCCAAAAATGTATGTCTTTTTCCATACCTTAAAGGAGTTTATTGGATAGATGAAATGGATAACATGCTTCCTCATATGTCCTCTAGAGACATAGTTGGTCACTGCATTGATCAGAGTTCTTAAGTCTTTCAAAGCTATTTTTTCCCCTTTTTAATGTTGTTTTCCTTATGTAAATTGTTCTCCTGGTTCTGCTTACTTCACTCTCGTAGTTCACATTACCCAGGATTCTCTATAACCATATTTTTATTAATTTCTTACAATGCAATATTCTATTACATTCATATACCACAATTTCTTCAGCCATTTCTGTATTGAAAAGCACTCCCGTAGATTCTAGTTCTAGCTTTTATTTTTTTTCCCTTTTAATCCTGCCCTGGCCCACCAGGATTAGGAAGTTTGTTTTTCTTGAAGCTATTCCCTGTCTGTTATTAGCCTCCCTCTTATTCCCTCTTCACCATACTCTGTGTGTATGTGTGTGTTTAATTCTTTTTTGACCATTTTAGATGAATGATGTTCATTTCTCCTACCCCTTCTTCTAATGTTTGCAAACTCTTCTCCTTAGGAAGAGTATTCTTCTTAAGAATATGAGAAATTCTCCCTCATTATGAAAAATAACATGTTCCACTCTCTTGCTCCTCCATTCTACACTAGCATATTTGTATTGTTCTCCCTTCTGTTTTTCCTCTTCATACCCTTAAAACTGGACCAGTCTTTTCCCCATAATAGAGTAATAATAATAGCTAGCATTAATATAGCACTTTAAGGTTTGCAAAGCACTTAACATATATTATCTTCTTTGATACTCACAATGATCCTGTGAGGTGAGTGCTATTATTCTACTCATTTTACAGATTAGGAAACTAAGACTGACAGGTTAAATTTTATGGCCAGGGTCACCTTTTTTTTTTTTTCAAATGTTTGTTGTAATCTAATAAAATTCAATCCAAGAACACAATTCTAGAAAATAGCCTTTGGAACATGTTTAATACATTTTCCATATATGTGTAGTTTTATACAGAAGCATTTCAATAATCTTAGTGTGTAAAAATTGGGAAACTATCACGTATATTGGAAAGAGAATTTCATTGGGCATCAGAAAGTACCAAATCAATTAGCAAGCATTTGTAAGAGATTCTACTCCAATCTCTTTATCATTACCCAGCTGTGTGACTTTGGACATGTATGTCACTCTGGTTTTTTCCTATCCATAAAATTAAGGGATGAGGCAGTGATCTTTAAAAACCTTTTCAGTACTAAAATTCTATAATTCAATGGAAAGGAACTGGACTAGTGATTCACTAGCAAAGAGAAACCGCCTCTACCAATGTAAGCCAGCACCTTCTCAACTTACATCCCTAATTATCTAGAAGACAGAGTTAATAGACTTTCCTGTCAGAGGTAGGAATTGAACCCATGTCTTCTTAGCTTCAAGGACATTACCACCCTGCCTCCAAAGGGAAAATTAGATTTAAAATATGTTTTCAAAAATTGGAATGTTATCTTCTGTGTACATTGTAAAATATAAGATAGCCATAAGCAGTAATGGTAAAGACCTTAGCAAAGATACTAAGGTCCTGCAACTAAATATAGTATGTCTGCCCAATAAGAGGTTACATGGCATAGTGGTTGGTGCTCCTGGCTTCAGAGCCAGGAAGACCTAGGTTCAAGTCTTACCTCTTATACTTATTGGCTATGTGACCCTGAGCTAATTATTTAACTTCTCAGGGCTCTAGGAAACTCTCTTAAGACTACAAGTTGCAGAAAAGATGCCATTTGCATTGATAGTGGGAGCCTCCTCACTCAGAGAATTTGCCATACCAATGATATGAGATGTTCACTCTCTATCTAGTCTCTGTCCAGACAAACCAAATTGCTTAATGTATCATTTGTGTCTAGCAGCAAAGGTAAGCTGCTGTACCCATCTTTTTTTTTTTTTTGGTCAGGCAATTGAGGTTAAGTGACTTGCCCAGAGTCACACAGCTGGTAAGTGTTTTAAGTATCTGAGGTCACATTTGAACTCAGGTCCTCCTGACTCCAAGGCAGGTGCTCTATCCACTGTACACATCCTTTATAGACAGTCACAGTGACAAAGTAACAAGACCTAAAGAAAAAATAAAATAACTTAGATTTCCTAAGAAAATCCTTTGCATATGTAACAGCATATATAACCTATGCTTGAGGTTGGATGTCATGCAGTTGACAGCAACGCTCAAGGCTCTCCAGCTGCCACTGGCTCATTTCCTTATTAACTCTATCTGGATTCTAAGGCAATCAAGGTGTATGTTTTGATATTTCCTCACAAATTGGCAGAAATGCACAATCTCTCTCACTGATCATCCCTGAGGCTCCACCTCAGTTTATAAACTGCAGAGACTTCTTTTCCCACCAGCTTTTACTTTTTTTCTCTTTTAACAACAGCCCATGACATCCTAGCCTTAGACAAAGACTAATATTAGTGACTATACAATTTATTAACAATGTAATACAAACATGTATATATTTCAACAATGTATCAGATATAAGAAAGATCATAGCCAGAGTTAAATTCTCTTTAGCATAGCTTCTCCGTAACATAAAAGTTAAACTCATTTTACTCAAAATGTCTCTTCAGTCTCTTTAAAAAATTCATACGTTCATTCTCTCAGAAAAGGAATTCTTAATTCTTTCAGTGCCTCATCAGAATCTGATAACCATGATAGTTAATTCTCTCTAGATAACAGTTAAACTGATATAGCAACAGAAGCCAAATTTTCCGGCAGAAAGACTATTGAAACTAGTTTAATCAATCCTGTCCAGATAAATTTGTTACACCCAGACATGGTCAGTGGAATAGAAAGTAAAAGTCCTTGCTTTTGTTC